AGGGAGAGATCTGGTTTCTCATCTCCTCCTAAATGAGCATCCCTGCCTTGAGGCTATAGGCAAGGGTATGACTCTGGTCCAGACACTAATCCCCAGCAATCCTGGAACATAATCTCTAGATTTTCATGATGGAAATGGTTTCTATCCATTCCCCAATTTCAGCCTATCTCCTAAATGATGTTAGAATAACCTCTTCAGAAAGGAAGATGTTACAGTAGCCTTGATCAGGCTCTACTGAAACCAGTTAAGGGAAATCTATTTCTTCCTGTCAAAAGAATGGACTCCACCTCTAGTCTTGGGTGGGGACCTAACATTCCAAGCTATCAAAAACACAAGAGTTAATCCATTGGACCTATCAATTATCTGGCCAAGGGACCACCCCCTCAGAACAGCTGATTCACCTTAGGCCATGCTAAAGAAATGGGAGAAATAATTATTCCCTTAAATGAGATAATGTGCTTTTCCTTCCCAGATGTCCCAGTCCTTTGAACAATCAACACAGAACCAGAGCCTATGTTAGAGCTGACCCCCTGGATGAGTCCTGACTCAGAAAGATGCAACTTCCTCCTTGTCTTCTTTTCTGTCTCTTTCTGATGCTGGCCAGAGCCAAGGTACACTTCCCCATGGACTTTGGGCCTTTTCATCTTTCGCTGATGCTACATCGATACCGCCCCCCCCCCCAACACACACACACGGTTTTTTGCCAAACCTCCGTGGCTAACTCCAAGTGAGGGAGACAGAGAGAAGAACGAGAAGAAGGAAGGACCACTGTGGATATTTGTCCTTCTGTCTAGCATCTGACCCATCTCCTCAAGAGATCTGGGTAACTCACCTAGCTTAGGGTGTTCCACCAAGGAGTTGGAAACGGCCTTCTGGCACCAGGGCTGTTGTGACACCAAAGTCTAGCTCTTATTTCAAAGGAACAAGAAGACTTGGTAGGACTTGGGCTTTCGGCCACTTGCATTTGAGTAAAGGATATGCTACCTGTGATGACATGTTAACCTGACAAAACCTAGAATTACCTGGGATGAGTCTTAATTGAGGAACTTAATTGAGGTTAGCCTGTGGGGATATCTGTGGGGGACTGTCTTGATTAGATGTGGAAAGACTCAGCCCACTGTGGGTGGCATTATTCCCTAAGCAGAGGGTTCTGAACTGTATAGGAGAAGTCAAGTTAAGCCCAAGCAAACAAGGAACATAAACACATGTATTTCTCTCTGCTCTAGACTGTGGATGTGATGTGACTAGCTGCTTTGATTTCCTGCCTTGACTTCCCTTCAGTGATGGACTGTAACCTGGAATGAACTTTCTCCTCTAAGTGCTTTTCTTCATTTCATCACAGCAATTGAAACGAAACTAGAATACTAAAGTGCGGCAAAAGGTCAGGAAACACACGAGGATACATAGTGATACACACGGGAAGAATACACAGTGATACACACGGGAAGGATACACAGTGATACACACGGGAAGGATACAAAGTGATACACACCGGAAGGATACACAGTGATAGACAGGGGAAGGATACACAGTGATACACACGGGAAGGATACACAGTGATACACACGGGAAGGATACACAGTGATACACACGGGAAGGATACACAGTGATACACACGGGAAGGATACCTGGTATCTCATGAAGCCCAGAATTGAACTCATGAGATCAGGGCCCAGCTGAAACCAGGAACCCGGAGACTGGGGCAGTGTTTGCAGAACTTCCCCCTGGAGCTGCTCCCCCTATGGCTCTGACTCTTCAGTTCTGCCCTTCTCACATCAATTTCTCACAACAGTCTCACATCAGATTCCTGCAAAGGAGCACGTCATATGGCAACCGAGGCAGCCACAGGGAAAGGCGGGGGCTACAGGCACCTGCCATAAACATGCTGTGCTGACCACCCAGGGTGGCAGAGCCCTCCCTGAAAGGTAGCTTACTAGGTCAGAAGGGCTGCCAGGGCAGAGTCCCACAGACTGGGTGGCTTCAATTATCCCCTCAATTCTGGAGACCCGAAGTTTGAGATCACAGTATCAGGAGGGCTGGTTTCGGAAAGCATCTACTCTTGGCCCTTCTGGCTTTCTGGCATCCCTCATAATTTGGTGTTTTTGTTTGTTTGTTTGTCTTCTGGGTGCACTATCCTGATCTCTGCCTCCAGGCTCTGGCATTTCTCTGTGTAAATGTCTTCTTTTTCTGGAGATACCAGCTATGTTGTGTTAGTATGACCTCCTCTCAGCTAAATGACCCTGTTTTCAGCTGAGGTCCTGGGAGAGAAGACTTCACTATATAAATTTGTTGAGTGGGAAACAGTTTCCCACTCACTTTTGAAAAATGAAAAGTGGGGGGAAGCTGGAGACAGCACACTTGAGGCAGCAGAGCCAAAGGGGAGGAGGAAACCCAGTTGGCTTTGGTGTTGGCAAAGGTGTGAGTGAGAGGCATTTGAAGACAGGAAAGTGCCCAGGTGTAGGGATGCATATTTAACCCTAACACCCCTTGTCCCCATCGATCTTCTCTAATACAACTGTCCCCACACGCTACCTCTGCTCATGTCCCAAGTACATTTCAAACCACTGCTGCCTTTTCTGTCCTTTCTACCTTGCCAAAACCTTCCTTGTAAAGGGGCACCCCCTTGTCACCAAATCCAGCAGGCGCTGTTCGTACATTGTGTCCCTCAGAAGACTTTGATGGTTTTGACACCCGCTTCTTTCATCATTTCCTCCTCCTTTTCCTGTGTTTTGATTTATTAGGTTTTTTTGTTTTGGTTTGGTTTTTGTTTTTTTCAAGACAAGGTCTTTCTGTGTAGTCTTGGCTGTCTTGGAACTCGCTCTGTAGACCAAGCTGGCCTTAAATTCATAGAGATCCACCTGCCTCTGCCTCCTATAGAATATTAGTTTAAGATGTGTTACATTTGTTTGTGCTGGGGAACATTTGTTTAATGATGCAAAGATGTGTTGCATTCTTTTGCGTTGCATTTGTTTAACTCTGTGAAGCTGTGTTACTGTGCCTGTCTAAAACACCTGACTGGTCTAGTAAAGAGCTGAACGGTCAGTAGGGAGGCAGGAGAAAGGATAGGTGGGGCTGGCAAGAAGAGAGAAGAAATAGGAGGAGAAATTTGGGGAAAGAAAGATCAAGGAACAAGAGAGGAAGGAGGAGGACTTCAGGGCCAGCCACCCAGCCACCCAGCCACCCAGCCACCCAGCCACCCAGCCACCCAGCCACCCAGCCACCCAGCCAGACACAGAGTAAGAAGGGAAGAAAAGATATATGGGAATGGAGAGATATAAAAGCCCTGAGGCCAAAGATAGATGGGATAATTTAAGTTGGGAAAAGCTGGCAAGAAACAAGCCAAGCTAAGGCCGGGCATTTAAAATTAAGAATAAGCCTCCATGTGTGATTTACTTGGAAGCTGGGTGGCAGGCCCCCCAAAAGAGCAGAAACCACCACCCCCAGCCTCCCGAGTGCTGGGATTAAGGGCGTGCACCACCACAGCCCAGCTGTTTTGTGTTGTTTTTTGTTTTAGAGTTTTTCCTTGAAATCTATGCAGATGAAGAAGGTTTTAAACTCCTGATCCTCCTGCCTCCACCTCTCAGTGCTGAGATTATAGGCATTGGCCACCCCGTTTCCCACCTGGAAATCACAGTTCTTTGCCTTTTAAGATGCATTTTCATGGTGTTAGGGAGAAAATAGCTAAGTTGGCAAGGTGCCCGTCACACAAACATGAGACTTGAGTTTGACCTGCAGACGGAACATGTCTTGCTCACCAGAAGTCAGATTTAACTGAATCATCTGTCTTATCCGATAACCCTACCCTAGAGCACTGGTTAAAATAGCAGTGGCCTCCTCAAGCCTCTGCAGACTTGGGAGGTGTGGAAGGAACCTCCAAGGAATCTGTATTTTTAAACGGCTAGTCAGGAGCTGGAGAGATGTTTCAACAGTAAGAACTTGCTGCTGTATCTTGAGGAATCAAGTTCAAATCCTAACACTAACATCAGGTAGTTCACAAATACCTGTAACTCCAGGTTCAATATACCTGAGCTTCAAGAGACAGCCATAGACAACCTGCTACACACACTTCAATGCTAAAAGAAAATCTACAATACTAAACACCGTATTCATACCAAACGTGGTGGTGCATGCCTTTAATCCCAGCACACAGGGCTTCTGTGAGTTTGAGGCTAGCCTGATCTACAAATTCCAAGATAGCCAGGACCTAGAGAGATTGTCTCAAAAAACAAAAAGGCAAAACAAAATAAAAACCCAACAACAACAAAAACACAAGACAAACGAAAAACCCACTAAACTATTTAGACCATGCTTCCTCACTAGGCTGGTGGAGTCCCCGACACTCATTGGGAATATGAGCATTCACTCCTCATTTCTTTTTGTTACTGTTTTTGTTTGTTTTGGTGAGACAGGGTTTCACTATATAAACCCTGGCCGTCCTGGAACTCACTTTGTAGACCAGGCTGGCCTTAAACTCACAAAGATGCCTCAGCCTCTAGAGTGATGGGATTAAAGGCATGGGTCAAGGCACCTGGCTCATTTCTCATTCTCCAAATGTCTACAAGTAGTCAAGCTTCCAGAGTTGGAATCAGGACTTCAACCTTTCCCCCTCTTCCGAATTGTGCAACCAGTGACCCTCTGGTACTGTTTAGAAGAACATCCCTTTCCTTTGCTCTGATACTTCTGAAGATTTTGTCCACGCGGATTTAGCCAATCGCTTCCCGCTCAATCTACAACAGCAATCTACAACAGAACCCACACGCGGTACCGTGCCAACACGGGGAACGGGTGGGGCCCGAGATGAAGGAGAGGAAAGAATCTGCAAGTCTCCGGTTCTCAGGGCTGCTTTTAGAGCCACCCCACCCTATCTATGACTCGCTCAGCCGGCCCCGCCCAGCAACCTGTGCCACGGAAAGGCGGGGCTGGAGCTCCGAGAGGCGTGGCCAGTCCGTAGCCACAGCCAATCACAGAGGGGTTCTCCTGTGAAGGGTGCGGTTGACAACTTCAGGGACGCGAAGCTTCTGGGGACCCCACCTACTACGGCGCTCGGCGAGTCTGGGGGGGCTAGGCGCACGGGATGAAGTGGACCCAGGAAGCTTCTGGGGGAGGCCAGGCCGAAGCCGGGTCCCCAGAGGAGTCCTTGGCAAGCCCGGAAACGGAGCCGCCGCAGGTCCCGGTGGAGGCGCCGCAAGCCGGGGTTCCCGACGGCAACCCGAGGCCGGAGCGGACCGGGAGGGAGGCTGCGGACGCGGAGCTGCAGGTCCTCTCGGAGGAGAGGCCGCAGCCTCCGGCTCTGTCCGGGTCCCCGCGCTTGCCGCCGCTCAGCCTGGGCTACGGCGCTTTCCGCCGCCTGGGCTCATGCAGCCGCGAGCTGCCGTCGCCGAGCCCCACGTGGGCCGAGCAGCCCCAGGACGGCGAGGTCGAGCCGCAGCCCTGGGCGGCGTCAGGAGAGCCCACGCCCGGGTCCTGGGCACCCGTGGAGCTGCAGGTAGACGTGCGCGTTAAACCCGTGGGCGCGGCGGGAGCCAGCCGCGCGCCCTCGCCCGCGCCGTCCACGCGCTTCCTCACCGTGCCGGTGCCAGAATCGCCCGCCTTCGCCCGCCGCTCGGCGCCCACGCTCCCGCGGCTGCCACGCGCCCCGTCGCCGGGCTCCACGTGGGGCCGTGGATCGCCGCTTGCCGCGCCCCCGACCGAGCGGATCGGCCCCACCGAGGGCAGCGCGGTCTCCCCGGGCTCGCCCACCTGCCGCTGCCGCTGCCGCTGCCAGGAGCCCGGGCTGACCAAAGAAGACGCCGCGCTGCTGCAGCGCGCAGGCATGGACAGCAAGAAACTGCCGCGGGCCATCACGCTCATAGGTGAGTGCTCAGCGGTGCCCGTGCCCGGTCCCTGAACTACACTAACCAGGAGCCCATTTGGCTGCCCCAAGCCCACACTGCTTCTCCGACTCAGAATTAATACAACAAAACAAAACAGGGTCCTGCCCCTCCCCTGGGGAACTTTCTCATTCCTTCTCAGTGCGCGCAGCATCTTGGAGAAGTACAAGTGGAAGGAACTTCGGATGAGGGGAAGTGATTCAGAATCACGTGGCCATGGTGGCCTGGGTACACCTCCTAGGACTTGGCTCCTTTCTTTCCGCCTTGAGGAGGGTCATCCATCCGCGCACAACTGAGCTGGCCCGGTGCCAGACGGCTGGGGCGTGCGTGTGTTGTGCTTTGCTTGTGAAGGAGAGGCGAGTGGAGCGTGGAAGAAAGCCTCTGTTAGTTTGCTTTCTCTTACTGTGATAAAACACAAAAAACAACTTGGGGAGGGAAGGGTTTGTTTAGCTTACAGTCCATCATCAAGGGAAGCCAGGGCAGGAACCTGTAAGCAAGAACTGAAGCGAAACCACGGAGGAAGGCTGCTTCCTGGCTTGCTTTCTTATACCGCCCCGCCACCACCGGCACCCCCACCCCACCCCCGCGGTACCGCCCCGCCACCACCGGCACCCCACCCCACCCCCGCGGTACCGCCCTCGGTAGACTGGGCCTTCCCACATCAATCATTAGTTAAGAAAATGCGCCGGGCGGTGGTGGCGCACGCCTTTAATCCCAGCACTCGGGAGGCAGAGCCAGGCGGATCTCTGTGAGTTCGAGGCCAGCCTGGGCTACAGAGTGATTCCAGGAAAGGCGCAAAGCTACACAGAGAAACCCTGTCTCGAAAAACCAAAAAAGAAAGAAAGAAAGAAAAAAAGAAAGAAAGAAAAGAAAATGCCCAACAGACTTGCCTACAGGCCATTCTGATGGAGGTATTTTCTCAAGGGAGGTTTCTCTTTTCCAGATGACCCTAGCTTGTCTCAAGTTGACAAAACACTAACCAGCACAGCCCCCTAAAGGTTGTAAGTCCCTCTGAGTGAGGAATGGCTCTGTTGTGGTGGGTTTACTGGGTTGGGGGTGGTAGAGGCCTGCCTGAAGGGGCTTGTGCCTTGCCCAGCAGGTAAACTGCCCCAGTCTGGGGTAATGGAAGGGTAGGACGATGGCCAGTACCTAGGAGTCCTCAGATAGAGAGAGGGCTCCAATACTTGAAAGGATCACTAAAACCTTTGAGAATTGTGTTGTAAGTTTCCCTCACACTCGGTGCCTCTCGCTGATACAAATGTAATATCCTACAGTCTGAACATCAGAGGTCCGACTGGGCTCCCTAGTCTAAGGTGGTGGTATCAGCAGGGCTGGGCCTCTCACTGAGGCTCCTGGGGCAGGCCCCTGACTTTGCCTGAGTGCCAGATCCTCTGCTGTCAGCCCCAGTGGTGTTAGGCTGGGTTAGTCTGCCCTCCGGCTTTGCCTCCCTCCTCACGGGTAAGGACCCTCACGATCCTACTGGGACCAGGTCAGTGTCCATTTCAGGTCAACTGATCAGCAACCTCACCTCCATCTGGACCTTAATTCCTCTTTGCTAAACGGCCTAGTGTATTTATTGGTTCTAAGGATCCAGGGACATCTTTGGAGTGATGGTATACCAGCCTCTAGCGTTTTACCAAATACTTTCATATTAATTTTATGTGTATGAGTGTCTGCACGTATGTCTGTGTACCACTTACATTCCTGGTGCCTACAGAGGCCAGAAAAGGGTATCAGATCCCCTGGAACTGGAATTACAGGCAGTTGTAAGCCCTACCTTGTGGGTGCTGCAACCCAACTCGGGCCCTCTGCAAGAGCAGCCAGTGCGCACTAACCACTGAGCCATCTCTCCAGGTCCTCTGTCAGATTTTTTAAAAACTGTGACTTAAGAACCAGTGCTGGCCGGGTGGTGGCGGTGGTGGTGGCGGCGGTGGCGGTGGCGGCGGCGGCGGCGGCGGCGGCGGCGGCAGCGGCGGCGGCGCACGCCTTTAATCCCAGCACTTGGGAGGCAGAGCCAGGCGGATCTCTGTGAGTTCGAGGCCAGCCTGGGCTACCAAGTGAGTTCCAGGAAAGGCGCAAAGCTACACAGAGAAACCCTGTCTCGAAAAACCAAAAAAAAAAAAAAAAAAAAAAGAACCAGTGCTGAAGTGACACTGTTGGATTTGTTCTGGGAATTAAGCTCTGACTGTCTGGTGGAGGAAGGCTGAGGAGGCCCGAGGCTGAGAAGGACAGGATTTATGGTAGAGGATGAGGCTCAGGAGGCAGAGTCGGTAGGCAGGACCACACACAGATGGGATACAGCTAAACTACAAGGATGGAGATCTCTCCCAGGTTCCTGACTAACCGGATGGTCGCTCTTCCACAAAGGAAAACGTGGGAAGAGATGGAGAAATAAACAAAGATGTGCCTTGGTCTGCAGGACCCTGCTTGGATAAGGAACTTTCCTGAGTGCTTGATCCTGGGAGGTCAAACAGGTTATCCCAACATGAGAGGCCATGTAAGCAAGGCTCAGTGACTTGCTGGACCCTAGGCCAGCTGCTTCTCTGTCCTGTGTGAACTTGGGAGGAGCAAGCCCCTTGGGAGAGGGTCTGTAACATCACTGCTTTGTCTCGTCCCTTGTTTCTGTGGGCAGGCACCCTGAAGGAGCTGCCTAGCTGTTAGTGAAGGTACCGAAGGCTGGGAGACATATTTTAAGACAAAGTCTCATGTATACTAGCTAGGCTGGCCTCAAACTCACTACATAGTCGAAGAGTGACCCTGAACTTCTGATTCTCTTGCTTCCATCCTCAAAGTGCTGGAGTTACAGGGATAGGCCACCACATCTGGTTTATGTGGTGCTGGAGATCAAACCTGGGGCTTCAGGTATGATAAGCAAGTACTGTACCAACTGTTCAGGCAGCTGGCAGGAGGGAGAAAGGCTGTAGCCTCATGTGGTGAACGCTTCTCCCTCAGATCTTGGCTTGGACTTACCTTCTCTTATCCCCCAGGCAACTTAGGGATCGCTGTCTCACCCTCTCATTTGGATTGACTTCATTATCCCAGGATTCTTCAGCCAGGCTATGATTGCTTCCTAAGTATCTCCTTGGGGGGAAAGGCAGGTAGACGCACGGACTTGCCCACATCTCAGTACCTGGCTCCTCAGTCTATTTGTACAAGTCAGAACTTATTATTCCCTGGATCCCTCTGGGGAGAAGATGGAGGGTTTGATCTCGGTGGTTGTCTTGCAGTTAGCACACCTCCTATGGAGAAGGATCGCCCCACCCAGCCCCTGGTCTCCAGGAGTCCATACTGCCCGGCGGCCGCCTGTCCCCCATCTTGTCCAGGCGGTGGGGAACATTCACAAAGTGAAAGCAGTCAGTCTGAGAGTAGTGTAGAGGGCAGGGAGGCTGTTGGCAATGAGGCTGGGGGATGAGAGCTCTTTGGGGAAGGTGAGACAGAATTAGAACCCCAAAGGTGATCCAGGTTCGATGGTCTCGGGAGAGGGCTTAGGATTTTGAAGCTCAGTGCAGCGGAAGACATCAGTGTCACATGGAGAGGAGCAGAGGCCCTGAGCAGAAGACGGTGACCGCTAAGCCTCACACTGGCATAAGCCCCTTCTGCTCTTTTGGGGACATATGTCCTTTAGCAGTAACTGCAGGGTCGGGGGAAGGGAGAAGACACGGTAAGGGAACCCACTCTAGCTACACAGATGTGTCTGTGTTTTTGCAAGCTGAGTCTGTATAGTGTATGTGTGTAACTTGTGTGATCAAGAGTTAGTTGTTCTGTCAACCCGGCAAGGTGGCTCACGCCTGCCATCCCAGCGCTCAGGAAGCTGAAGCAGGGCCTAAGAGCTTTTGTCCACCCTGGGCTACATGTTGAGACCCCATCTTTAAAAAAAAAAATGTGGCACGTGTGGTGAAGCCCATAATCCCAGCATGCCAGAGGTTGTACCAAGATTGCTGCAAGATCGAAGCTACCCTGGACCAGAATCCTCCAGGCCAGCTGTGCTATACAGACCCTGTTTTCAAAAACTAAACCAGAAAATGGTGGTGTGGGCACTTTCACCTTAGCTCTGCAGGGCCTTGCCAAGCCCAGTGGCTTAAGCTAGGCGGGTCCCCGACCTGGTTTGAGAGAACTTATCACCCACTGGGCTTCTGTCATGCTTTGCTTTCTGAAGGTCAGAGCTAAACAAAGGTTCAGCCACAAGAATTACAGTGACTGGTGAGTTTATCTTCCTTGTCTTGGCCGAGCTTTCCAGTTCTGCTTTTATTATTTTCGAGCCTTAATTTAGGGCTGGGACAAAGCTCAATGGTAAAGCATTTGTCTAGCATGAACAAGACCCTGGTAGTTCAATGCCGTGTGGAAAAAAAAAAATCATCTCAGTTTATACATATTTTTGGTGGTGGGTTGTTTGTAAAATGTGTGTGAGTTTGGCCTACATTTATGTCTGTGCATCATGTGCCTGGTGCCTGCAGAGACCAGAAGAGGGCGTCTGACCCCTTGGAATTGGAATTAAAGTTGTGAGTCACTATGTGGGTGCTGGGAATTGAACTCAGGTCCTCTGGAAGAGCAGCCAGTGCTCTTAACCACTAAGCAATCCCACAGCCTGTGAGTGAGTGAGTGAGTGAGTGTGAGTGTGTGTGTGTGTGTATGTATGTATGTTCTTAAGATAAGGTCTAGCTATGTAGCTCTGGCTGACCTGGAACTTGCTATATGTTAGACCAAGCTTTTTCAAGTTCCCCCTTCTTTTGGTAACAGACATATTGAGATGCAGTTCCTATACCATACAAGGCACCATCTTACAGTGTAATATTCAAGGAGCATTGCATATTCAGTGTTGTGTTCATGCTAAAACAAACCTTCCACCCCCAGACCCCACCAGTCTCTCTGTCTCTAAACACTGTCCTCTGGACATCCATGTCCTTGGGTTCACATTACATGAACCCTTTTGTCTGGCTTCCTTCTGTTTTGTTTGTTGACAGGGTTTTGCCATGTAGTTCAGGCAGGCCTGAAACTCTTTTTTTTCTGATTAATTTACTTTATGTGTATGAATGTCTGCCAGGTGTGTGCATAGGGCCCAGAATAGGGCATGTGATCCTTTGAGACTGGTGTAGTGAGCTGCCATGTGGGTGCCGGGAATTGAAGGCCCTCTGGAAAGGCAGTCACTGTTCTTAATTCTTGAGTCATCTCTCGAGCCCCTGGCCTGAAACTTTTTTTTCCAGTTTTAGTGGGTATTGTGATGTTATAATTTATTTATTTGTTTGTTTGTTTATCTGTTATCAGCTTGATACAGTATAAATTCTTATCCTAATAGTGAAATGTTTCATTGAGGCTTGCCCAGTAATTGAGTAAAACCAAAACTTATAAGCCACAGTCAATCCTAGGGTCCCCCCTGCTATGTAGCCTTCCTGGTTCTGTGGGTTGCAGTCTGACTGTTCTTTGCTTTATATCTAGAATCCACTTATGAGTGAGTACATACTATGTTTGTCCTTCTGGGTTTGGGTTACCTCACTCACTGAAACTCTTAATGCCCCTGCCTCAGCCTCTTGAATGCTGGGACGATAGGCCTATGCCACCACACTTGACTGATTTCTTTGGCTTAATCCGTTTTCAAGGGGTTTTTTATGCTGTAGCATGAACTTGGTATTTCATTCTTTTTTGCTGGATAGTATTCCATGGCATGAATATATTATGTTTCGATTATCTACCTATCACTTGATAGATATCTTGGAAAATACCTTTAAAAATTGTGTATTTAAAAATTCCACAGGGGCTGGAGAGATGGTTCAGCACTTAAGAGTACTTGCTGTTTCTAGCACCCACAGTGAGATGCTCACAACCACCTATAACTCCAGTCTGTGGGATCCAGCACCTTCTTCTGGCCTCCGAGGGCATATGCAACACACACACACACACACACACACACACACACACACACACACACACACACACACACACACACGGCCATAGTTAAAAATAAATCTGAAAAAAATATATTCCAGGGCTGGATTTAGGACTTAATGAACACCCAGCATGCTTGAGGGCCTGGGTTAGTTCCCCAGCACAAAACTAAAAAATAAAAATCTGAACAGGTTACAGTGTTTAACCCCCAAACCCCACCCTTTTTTTTCCCCCCTAAGACAAGGTTTCCCTGTGAAGCTCTGGCTGTCTAGAACTAACTCTGTAGACCAGGCTGGCCTCAAACTCAGAGATCTACCTGCCTCTGCCTCCCAGATGCTTGGATTAAAGGCATGTGCTACCACCACCCGGCTTCATAAATCTCTTTAACAGACTTCTGATCACTGAAGCAAGTGTTTTCTCTAATGCAGATGAAAAAATGGGAATTTGAAAAGTTCCTGAGACTTTGAAGTTGAGCAACAGTAAATGTGTTCTATTAAAATCTTGAAAACTCTCAACTCTTTGTGTAGAAACTTAGCATTCATATATGAGTATATAACATACTAGTACACACATTCTCTTTCTAAGTCAGTTTTTTGGTTGTTTTTTTTCTTCTGTTTTTTTTTTTGGAGGCAGTTTTTCTACATAGCCCTGGCCGGCCTCGAATTCACTCTGTAGAACCAGGCTGACCTGGAACTCACAAAGATCTGCCTGCCTCTTCCTCCCGAGTCCTGGGATCAAAGGTGTGTACCACCAGGCCGAGTACAATTATTCACTTCAAATAAAATCCCGCTGCAGAACAATCTTTTGTTTTCCTTGTGGTCTGAGGAAATATGGTAACTACTTTTTTTTAAAAAAAAAAAACAAAACAATTTTATTTATTAATTATGTATACAATGCTCTGTCTGCGTGTATCCCTGCAGGCCAGAAGAGGGCACCAGATCTCATTACAGGTGGTTGTGAGCCAACATGTGGTTGCTGGGAATTGAACGCAGGACCTTTGGAAGAGCAGCCAGTGCTCTTAACCTCTGAGCCATCTCTCCAGCCTTTTTTTTTTTTTTTTGAACATTTTTTTTTAAAGATTTATTTATTTGTTATGTATACAGCATATATGACTGCAGGCTAGAAGAGGGCACCAGATCTCATTACAGGTGGTTGTGAACCACCATGTGGTTGCTGGAAATTGAACTCAGGACCTCTGGAAGAGCAGTCAGTGCTCTTAACCTCTGAGCCATCTCTCCAGCCCGGTAACTACTTTCTTACCGCCCTCACCCTCCCTCCCATGATTACACACTCACTGCTCAAGCCAGGTTCGAGGAGGGAGCACTCCTCTTTGCTATAACTCTTCAAGCGTCTGTGTCCAGAGAGATCTGGTTTCAGCGGCGGGTGTCATGGCTTCAGAGGGGTGAGCACTGGGTCTAGCTAGAGTTTTCCAGCCTAGCCCACAGTCAGGACAAATCTCTCTCACCCGCCAGTCCCACAGCCGCTCAGACCCGACCAAGTAAACACAGAGACTTATATTGGTTACAAACTGTATGGCCGTGGCAGGCTTCTTGCTAACTGTTCTTACAGCTTAAATTAATCCATTTCTATAAATCTATACCTTGCCACATGGCTTGTGGCTTACCGGCATCTTCACATGCTGTTTGTCATCGTGGCGGCTGGCAGTGTCTCTCTTTCTCAGCCTTCCACTTCCCAGCTTTATTCTCCTCCTTGTCCCACCTATACTTCCTGCCTGGCCACTGGCCAATCAGTGATTTATTTATTGACCAATCAGCAACACACTTGACATACAGACCATCCCACAGCAAGGGGGGGGGGGGTCACCACAAAATGAGTAATTGCATTAAAGGGTCGCAGCATTAGGAAGGTTGAGAACCACTAACAGAGAGCCCCTATTTCAAACAACCAAACCCACGAGGATAGGATGAGAGAAAACAGGTGTTGTGTCCTGTCCCTCACACTCATTCCCTGCCTGCAGCCTCCCCAACTACCTGGTGCCCTTGGCCTTTGAGCCACAGACAAGGCCCATGGCTGCTGACTCCCCATGGCTGTGGAGAACTGAGTCTGCCCTGTCTTCAGTCATGGCAAAGACCTGGAGAGACTAGAGAGGCCACTGAGAGTTTGAGGAGAAAACGTGGAGAGTCAGGACTTGACCTTCATTGACTTTGACCTTGTAGAGCTGCAGTCCGGTCCCTGCTCTTTGTCCCGTGGCACGTTGCCCACAGTGCCCTGGATTCTCTGTCACCTGCTGCCTGAAGGCCCCTTGCCCACGTCTGTGGCAGTGACACTACTGTCTGGCACACGGGTACATCACGCACGTGTGTGTGTGTGTGTGTGTGTGTGTGTGTGTGTGTGTGTCTCGCATTGATTGCTGTGTTTTGTGGAGCCCTTATCTTCTAGCCATGTGAGAAAAAAGCAGAGTATATTCTGGCAGTTCTCCTAAATATGAAGTTCGGATCTAACCTGGGTGCTTTGCCTGGGTGCTTGAGCCAAGGTGACCATGGAGCTGGTGTGGGGGCAGCGTGAGAGGGAGTGGAGACCAGGGTGGTGCTGGCTTGAATGTGGTTGGGTTGATCTCTTACAACTTGCCTTTCTGTTTTCTCTCCAGGGCTGCCCCTGTACATGAAGTCCCTGCGCTGGGCTCTGGTGGTCATGGCTGTGTTCCTGGCTGTCTGCACTGTAGCCATCGTGGCACTGGCCTCTAGAGGCGGTATGGTATCCCGTCCCTATTCCGTGTACTTGGGACACCTCTGAGACTTGCAGCATGAAGACACGGGCCTTGTTTAGCAAAGAGGAGAAAGCTCGACCCTAGCCTCCCTTCAGTTTATGACCTGACTGGTAATGCAAGTACCAGCCCCTCTCCAGGAGAACTTTGCACAGTGCGGGCTGTACGACCTGGGGCTCTCTCTGCCCATTATCCTTCCCACCTGGATGCTTGCCAGCTCCCTCCCCGTAGATTCACCCCCTCAGCCAGGGTCACAGCCGGGTTTTGTGTTTACAGTGTATTCATGCATAGCCCCTTAGAATTGTCCCTTGACCCAGAGATCTCTACTTTCAGGAGCCAAGTGCCAGCCATGCCCTCAGGGCTGGTTGTGGTCTCAGGAACACTGTTACTACCTCTCTGAAGAAGCCCAAGACTGGGCGGGCAGCCAGGCGTTCTGCTCAGCCCACCATGCCACACTGCCCCTGCTGAGCCACACCCAGGTGAGAAAGGCTGGCTAGGAGAGGGTATGTGTCATCCCAGATCCTTGAACTTAGCCCTGGGAAGGAATCTCTAGATCAAGTCCTTCACGCTATGAGAGTCACCAAAGCCCAAAGGAATGAAGTGACATGCACAGGGGCCAGCTATCAGGTGTTCAGGGTTTCATTCTAAGAAGAAGGCAGAGCTAGGCTGGTCCCATCCAACCTGGGTTACTCAGTTAGCCAGTTAACAGTGGAGCCAGGCCTGCTGGGAGAGACCCATGAGTCCTCCCAGGATGTGGTGGAGAAAATACAGCATGGTGGGTGTGTAAGTGTCAGGTGTTGGCTGGAGTGCTGGGGAACAAAGCATCTCGGAAATTACTTAGTGCCTTGGGACCATAAGCATTTCTCTCCTTTTCTTTCCTTCTTTTCTCTTTTTAAGACAGTCTCACTATGCTTTCTTGGCTGGCCTGAAACTATGTAGACCAGACTGCTTCAGACTCACAGAGATCCACCTGCCTCTGCCTCCTGGGTGCTAAAATTCACCACCACACTCAGCTTAAAATATTTTTTATTGATGTGTAAGTGTGTCTGCTTACGAGTACAGGTGCCCACAGAGGCTTAAGTGGTCAAATTCCCTGGAGCTGGAATTACAGTTGTTTGTGAGCTACCTGATACAGATTCTGGGAACCAAATTCAGGTCCTCTGAAAAAGCAAGAGCTGAGCCATCCATCTCTCCAACCATGTGATTAACTGGTGTGTGTGTGTGTGTGTGTGTGTGTGTGTGTGTGTGTGTGTGTGTGTGTGTGAGAGAGAGAGAGAGAGAGAGAGAGAGAGAGAGAGAGAGAGAGAGAGAGAGAGAGTGTTTCTGCTGCTGTGATAAAATACCATGACCAAAGGCAACTTGGGGAGGAAAGAAAAGGTTTATTCCACCTTACAGTGTGTACACCATCTAGGGAAGTCAGCACAGGAACCTCGGGGTGGAAACTGATGCAGGAGCCGTGGAGGAGTGCTGTCTACTGGTTTGCTCTCTATGGCTTGCCTGCTTTTATGCTATGCAGAACCATTTGCCCAGGGTAGTACCACCTACAGGGGGCTGGGCCCTTCCACATCATTCATTAAATCAAGAGAATACCCTGGAGGCAGAGGTCGGTGGATCTCTGTGAATTCAAAGCCAGCACAGTCTACATAGTAAGTTTCAGGCCAGCCAGAGGTAAATAGCAAGACCCTGTCTTAAAAACAAAACAAAACATCAACAAAAGATACCCCTTTTTCCAGATATGGCTAGGTTTGTGTCAAGTTGACAAAACAATCAGCACAACTGACCCCTTGTCAACTTGACACACAAACTTATCACTTATTAACTCATAACCTTTCCTTTCTTGTTCATCCCCAACAGCTCGTATTAATATAAATACCACAATATATTATACCAAGAAGGAAGAATCAGGGCACAGTCACAACTTTAACAAAGCAAAATGCAACCCCAACAGTGTAAATAAGTCTGTTCAATGTCTAGGATCACTCACAATCTGGGCTCCAAAGGGCTTGGACAGCCCACTCCCCTGGCTCTGCCTTTCACAGGACACACAACTTGTCTCCTAGGCTAAGGCCCGCTCCACTCCACAGCTGCTGCTGTCCTTGGTGGTCAGCCCCCGGTACTGACATCTCCAAAATGTTGGGGTCTCCCCTGCAACAGGGCTGTACCTTCAGCTAGCCTCCCCTGGGCTGTCTTCAGGGACTCTGACCCTGACACACGTCAAGCCTCAACTTCTCCCCACGGGCCTTTCGATCCTCTGGCTTCTAGTTCAACTGAGGCTGCATGTTCACCAACGGCCTCTTCTCCTGTCATGATGCCAAGCCTCAGCTGCTCTCCATGACCTCTTCATGGCTTCAAAACTAGTACCACCTGGGAAACTTTTACACATTATTAAGGCAAAGCCTTAGCAACTTTTGGACCGCAGCCTCTGTGTGCTGACCCTGAGGAAACACTTCCCAGTAGATTTTGCCTCAGTGATGCTGGTCTCTTCTTAATCACAGCCCTTGTTGACCAGTATTAATTGTCCCAGCAAAGCAAAGGTTCACTATTGGTTCTTTTTCTAAAGAAATAATTTATTTTATGTGCATTGGTGTTTGCCTTCATGTATGCCTGTGTGAGGGTGTTGGATCCACTGGAACTGGAGTCCCAGACAGTTATGAGCTGCCATGTGGGTGCTGGGAACTGAGCCCGAATCCTCTGGAAGAGCAGCCAGTGCTCTTAACCGCTGAGCCCGCTCTCCAGCCTCCACTATAGTGGTTCTTAATTCAAAATATCAGATGTCTCTGATAGAGTCTTTATGAGCCCTCAGACTTCTGAAATTTCACAAGCCAGACCTCCATCATCTGATCTGCCTGCTTTCAGCATTATCTTCTGAGATAATGTTCCCACGGTTCATTGAGCTCTGAACACTCTGGCTTTTCCAGCCCACAGTTCACTACCCTCCTCCCAAAACCACACAGTTAGGTCTGTCAGCAAGAGTCAACAATCTGGTATCAATTATGTCTAGTTAGGGTTTCTATTGCTGTGATAAAACACCATGACCAAAAGCTTCTTGTGGCCAGGCGGTGGTGGCGCACACCTTTAATCCCAGCACTCGGGAGGCAGAGGCAGGCGGATCTCTGTGAGTTTGAGGCCAGCCTGGTCTACAAAGTGAGTTCCAGGACAGGCTCCAAAGCTACACAGAGAAACCCTGTCTTGAAAAACCAAAAAAGAAAAAAAAAGCTACTTGTGGAGGAAAGGGTTTATTTCACCTTACAGCTTGTAATCCATCTTCCCAGGAAGGCAGGACAGGAACTCAAGGCATGAGCTTGGAGACAGGAACTGGTGCAGAGGCCATGGAGGAATGCTTACTGGCTTGCTCCTCTCATGGTTTGCTCAGCTTGTTTTTCTTTTCTTTCTTTTTTAAATTCTTTATTTTTATTTCACATCCATTGGTGTTTTACCTGCATGTATGTCTGTATGAGGGGGTCAGATCCCCTGGAACTGGAATTATAGATGACAGCTGTGATCTGCCATGTGGGTGCTGGGAACTGAACCCAGGTCCTCTGGAGGAGCAGCCAGTGCTCTTAACCACTGACCCATTTCTCCAGCCCTTCAGCATGCTTTCTTATAGGCCTGTATTAGAGTTCTCTTGAGTAACAGAACTTATAGAATGAATTACACATACACACGTACGTGCGCTCGCCAAAAAGGAAAGGGAGAAGGGTCGCGAGGTCCTCCTCCTGGTGTGTTCGGACGGCCAGGTGGATTCACTCCAGATCAGAACAGAGGACAACTTCAGCTGTTTACTCGGTTCTATATATCTTAATAAATCCCTATTACCCATTAAATAGACTCACGTGGATTGATCTTAACAAAAGGGGATTTATTAGAGTGGCTTACAGGCTGTGGTCCAGCTAATCCAGCAGTGTCTTCCAAAGGAGGGCCCAGGAATCCCGAAGTTTAGTCCACAAGGTTGGATGTCCCAGCTGGTCTTCAGTATATGTTGGAATCCTGACGAAGTAGGCTGTAATGCCAGTGAAGGAATGGACTTGCTATCAAGAGCAAACAGGCGAAGACAGCAAACTTCCTTCTTCCATGTACTTTATATAGGCTTCCAGCTGAGGGTGTGGCCCAGATTAAAGGTGGATCTTCCCACCTCAAAGATACAGATTAGAAGTGGTTTTTCTTTAAATGATTTAATTAAGAAAAATTCCCTCACAGGTGTGCCCAGCCATTTGGGTTTTAGTTAATTTCAGATGTCAAGTTGACAACCAAGAACAGCCATCACAAGGCCCATCATTAATCAAGGAAACACCCCCATAGACTTGCCTGCAGGCCAATCTTAGGGCGGCATCTTCTCAATTAAGATTCCCTCTCCCCAGCTATGTCTGTTTGTGTCAAGTTGACACAAATTACGTGTGTAGTTGTACATATGGACGCTTATCCATAGGCATGCTCTTGCATGTGGATGCCAGAAGTCAACCTGGGGTGCTGTTCCTCAGAAGCCACTTGAGACAAGGTTTCATTGGGACCTGGGGCACACCAATCTGAGTGGGCCGAATGGCCTGTGAGCCCCAGACTTCTACCTGTCTCTGCCTCACTGGCACTCAGGTTACAGGTGCATACCCCTAAGCCTGGCTCGTTATGTAGGTACTGGGGATCAAACTCAGGTTCTTAGGTTTGTGTGGCAAGCACTTTACCAACTGAGCCATTTCTTTACCACCATGGCTAACTTTTTGAAGAGAAAATATTCACTTAGCTCAGCTTTGAAAGTTTAAAGGCTTGGTGCCCATCAACTTAGTTCTTGTACCGGTGGCAGGTGGTGGGCAGGAGTGAGGGGTTATATTATGAACCAGGAAGCAGAGATAAACTTAAGTTTCTTCAAGGGTACACCCCTAGGGACCCAAGGACCTCCCTGGGTTAAGTCCTTAGCACTGCACTCGTGGAGAAACTAGAGTTAGAACAGTCTATGCAGAGAAACTAGCCCAGTTCCCTGCTTCAAAGCCCCTCCCAGCCTGGTTGCGAAATAAGGAACAGTGAGGATGTGGTGGACCAGAGATGGATCCCTAGAGAGTGTGTGAGGCTGGGGCAAGGCCAGCAAGTGAGGATTCGCTAGCTAAGCATTATTCTAATGCCTCCAGAAACAAAGCCATCCAGTGTTGCAACGGCCACCAGGAAGCCTGGTCCCTTCCCTCAGACATATCAGACACACTTAACCCACAGTGACCTTGGACCTGGGCAGAACAACACTCCTCCATTTGGGGGCAGAGATGGGTTTAACCATCCAGTTTGGAAATAGCTTGAGATCAAGTGTTTATAAAATCTAACTGCAAGGGATCAGTGCTCTGAAACACAATTAAATCAGAGAATGACTTCATGATTGGGTTTTGGCTTGTTCTTTTTTACACACACACAAGCATGAACGAACGAACGAACATAGATAAACACAAAATCCTTAAGTGTGTTTCTTTTTTTCTTTTTTTAATAATGTATTTATTTTTATTTATGTACATTGGTGTTTTGCCTATATGTATGTCTGTGTGAGAGGGTCAGATATTGGAGTTACAGACAGTTGTTAGCTGCCATGTGGGTGCTGGAAATTGAATCCACATCCTCTGGAAGAGCAGTCTGTGCTCTGAAATGCTGAGCCATCTCTCCAGCCCTCTTTTTTCCCCCCCTTCTTCAGAGACAGGGCTTCTCTGTAGCCCCAGCTGTCCTGGGACTCACTCTGTATACCAGACTAGCCTTGAACTCAGAGATCCGCCTGCCTCTGCCTCTGCCTCCAGGGTGATGGGATTGAAGGTGTGCACCACTACCGCCCGGCTCTGTTTCTTATTACTAAGTTCATGCCACAATTTTAGTGCATTTTATTATTGGGGCGGCGGGGGGGGGGGGGGGGGGGGCACATCTATGCACACACCACAATGCGTGTATGGAGGTCAGAGGGCAGTTTTGAGGAGTTGGTTCTGTCCTTCCTGTGTCTCAGGTATTGAACTTGGCTCATCAGGCTTGGCAGCAAGCCTTTTTAACCTGCTGAGCCATCTCCAGCCCCATACTGCCCTCTGTAACGACTTTAATACTATTGAACCAGTGCAAGATAATTTTGTTGCTTTAGGAACTGCACCAGTAATCTGTCCCATACCACCTCCATACCTTAGTCAATCCCTGCCCTCCCCCCATGTGCCAACCATTCTGGCTACTGGCTGCCACCTGGGCATGCTTAGGAGCCTCTCCACTTGGCCCAGGCCCTTCCCTCTCCTCTGAGCTGCTTTATTCTCTCGTTGTGTGGTGACTGTAGCATCCTCTTGAGATGGGATCGATTCTCATTTCTGGTCCCCAAGCCTAAGCACAGTGCCAGCCCACCAGTGAGCTTCCAGGTCCACTTCCATAATTCCAGGTATTTTGCAAGCTCTTGGAGCTGATTCCTTCCTGGAGAGGCATTCTGGAATCCTGCAGATGCCTCATGAAAAATGGATGTCCTAGTAAGCCATGATGTGGAAAAAAAAAAAATGTGCTTGCTTTTCTCCCTCAGGACTTCCTAGGAAAATACCAGATCACCAAAGGCTTCTGGGTGGGGGCCCAACGAGGCCCTGAAGGCTGGCACTGGACTGATGGGGTCCCTTTGCCACCCCAACTGTGAGTAACTGGGTTCCCTCCTCCTCTGCTGCGCTATAGCCTCCTTTTGCCCCACCCAACCTTCAGTACCAACAGGAGACTCATTCCACACCCAGCCAAGGGGGCTAGCAGGCCTCATCCTTGTCCCTCCAACCCTGATGTGAGTCCCCAGCACATTCACCCAGGCACAACTGTCATGTTGGTTTTTCAGATACAAGGTCTGTGGTTTAGGAATTCAGTGGTTCCGCCATGTAGCTGACCAGTGGGAGACATTGCCAGGGTTCTTTCCAGATGTTTATTCCCTGCCCGTGTGCGGTGACTGGTACAGGGCCTGGCTTGTACGGGAGCGGAAGGAGGCCCAGCAGCCTGAGTGTCCTCTCTCTCCTCTCTCACCTCACCCCACCCCAGGCTCCCAAAGGACAGTGAGGACCATCCAGACTTCAGCTGCGGGGGTTTGGAAGGCGGCCGGCTCGTGGCTCTGGACTGTAGCTCTCCCAGACCCTGGGTCTGTGCCAGGGGGGCCAAGTGACTTAGTGTCCTGTGCCAGACCTGTCTGGAGCTGCGTTCGTTATTTTGCTTTGGTGTGACAAGACAACTTGAAGGAGGCAAGAGTTACCGGGCTTGTGGTTTCAGAGGGGCTGCACCTGGCGGAGCTGCCCAGTCCACAGCAGCAGGAGCATGTGGCTGCAGTCACCTTACTGGGGACCAGAAGCAGAGGGAGTGCCAGAGCCAGGGGCGGAACAACCTTCAAAGGCCTGTCATTGCTGACATACCTCTGAAAGCTCCCACACAGTCCCCAGATCCAGCACTACCAGCTGGGAACAAGCTGGTGGGGGGCACTTCAGATTCAAACCAGAGCATTCCTGTAACAAGTCCCATGAAGACTTATGACTATCTTGTTTAGAGACAGGATCTCTATGTAACCCTGGTTGGCCAGGAACTTACTGTGTGGTCCAGGGTGGCCTCAAGTTCTTGGACAATCTTCCCGAGTACAGAGAGTGTATGCCACCACACCCAGCCTATGGCTAACTCATTCTGTAAAATACATTGTCCAACTTCAAGAGTCTCCATAGTCTTAACAGTTCCAGCATTGTTCAAAAGTCTAAGGACTCCTCCGAGATGCCAAGCAAAGTTTTAGCTTTAAACACGTGATATATATATTTCTAAAATGCAATGACACAGTCAAATTCTCATTCCAAGAGGGTAGAATAGGAAAGTGGGCTGGGAAGATTAGATCAATGCAAGACTGAAATCCATCAGAGCAAATCTCAAATTCTGCAGCTCCATGCCCATCTTGGGATGTTACAGGCATTTTGATTGCCCTGTGACTGTTAAATAAAGTTTACCTTGAATCGGGGGCATCAGCTAGTAACTAGCTGACTGGAACGCCATCGAGAAGCCAGCAATTTGGATAGAGAAGATACACAGGAAGGGAAGGGCTGAATCACCTTATTTATGGCTTTTAAATCTGAGAACATTTTCCATTTTCCAGTTTTCTTTTTAATGACAAACAGGAGAATCCAAGGACTGGTCGATTCAATATGTTGAGCATTTAGCTGCTCCTGAAGCAGCTGTAATTTTTAGTGCCTGTAATTTTTCTGATGTCAAAGGCCACTGTTCCATCCACAGGTTTGTCAGTTACCAAAGGTAGGGCTTTACACTTGAGAAAGAGAGGGAGGGAGGGAGAGGGGAACCTCTGGGCATGTGTGGGAGGGAGTTTCTAGGTTGAGCTGAGGTGGAAAGACCCACTCACTCTAAATGCGATTGGCACCTTTCCATGGGCTGGGGTCCTGGGTGAAGAAAGAGAATGAGCTGAGCATCAGCTCTCTCCGTGGCTCCTGACTGCAGGTGCAATGTGAGCAGAAGCCTCACACTCCTCCACTTCCCCCCAGCTCCCCCACGTCTTCCTTTAAGTTGCTTCTGTCAGATATTTCGTTGCAGCAATGAGAAAAGTAGCTAATGTATTAAACACCGTCACAGACTGAGGTCGCACACTGGAACACCCTGCCATGTCCTGCTCCCTGGTGTGACACTGACTTTGAAGACCTGAGCTCCACCAGCTCCCTAACGTCTTCCACGAGCTGCTAAGTGTTCCTGTCACTAGGTACCCTCCCTGATATTTCTCTGGAGAGGATTTGAGGTGTATCATTCTGAATTCATTCTTTTTAAGAATTGTTTCGGCTTCCTATCCTTGTTGCTCATGGGTATATTTGGAGACAACACAGCTGCATTATCCTGGCATCCCTACACTAGAAGTCTTCTACTGTGTGTGTCAGTTTGTCCAACCAGCCAGCATCCATTGAGAGAGCCAGAGCCATGGGAAAGTCCTGAGCAAGAGGAAGAACTAGGGAATCCATGTCCTTACAGACCATTAGCATGGCTTTTTGAGCCTTCACTTTACAAGCTGTGGGATGAGCAGCCTGTAAATGAAGTAAGTCAGCAGCCCCACAATCAGAATTGTGCCTCTTCATTGTACGGGATCCGTTCCTAAACTGTGGAAGGTCTAATTCCCAGCATCTGTAATGTGACTTGTTTGTGCACAATCAGGTAAAAATGAGGGCATTTGTGTGGCTAATCAGATATGTCTGGTGTCTTTATAAGAAGAAAGTTTGGTGGCTGGCAAGATTGCTCAGTTGGCAGAAGCACTTGCTGCTGCACAGATGTCCCCACTTCTCAGGGTCTTAAAGGTATACTTTAGTCCCTGTCAAAGTTCTGACCAGCAGTGGACACCTATGCTTTGGAGAAAGGCTCATCACAAACTGCAAAGGCATTTTCCCACAATGCACATGAATCTGTGGGTTAAGGTATGTGTGTAGAAGTCCAAGGATACCCCAGGAAGAGTGGGGGCTGCAAACTGCAATACTAGGCAGTTGCAGCCTGGAAAACCATCCGTCTTCTTCCATTAAGAGCTCCGGTGCTCTATCTAGTGTACATGTGCCTGCATTAGCACATCTAATTCCCACCATGACCTAGTGACCTAGTAGTTAAGCTGGACTCTTAACTATAAACAACAAGAAAACCAATTCTAAAAAGCCCAATCAGAAAAGGACTTGGAGAAGCGTCTCTCCACATGGCTACCTTCCTCCTTTCTCCTTCTGAACCACTTCCTCACAACAGTCACCAAGAGTGCTTAACTAACCTGTCCAGACAGCCGACTTAAGCTGGAAGCTTCTAGTCACAAGAAAGGTCTCTGACCAACTTAGCAGGCTCAAGCGCCACCTCTGGATTGCTGAACTGTGGCCAGGAGTGAAGTCACACTGCAACTCAAGTGGAAACTTCCACACCACGCTGAATACTGACGACGGGAGGGAGGGTGAGTGTCCGGAACAGGACAGCAGGAATCTTCCAGGCTTGTGTTACTCCTGTATCCTAAAGCTGAGACTCAAAGAAGATAAAGGATTTATTTACAGGGCAGCAGAGGGGAGGTTATGAGTACTGACCCTGGAGATGTATGTATTCCTGGCTGTCCTGAAAATCACTATATAGACCAGGCTGGCCTCAAACTCATGGAGATCCAGCTGCCTCTGCCTCCTAAGTGTTAGGATTAAAGGCGCTACATCTGGCCACATCTTTTTTTTTTCTTAAGTGTATTTCTTGTATGTGTGTGCAAGCATGTATGCTGTTTGTGCACACACATGAATACAGGTGGGAGTGTGACACAGTGTGCATGTGGAGGTCAGAGGGCCATCTTGGAGGTCAGTCTTCACCTCCCTCCTTGATGAGCTCGGGGATCCGTTGTTCATTGTTGCACGTACCATTAGCTGGCTGTCAGACTTCTGGGGTTTCTCCTGTTTGCTCTTATCTCATGGCAGGAGCCACCATACCAGGCTTTATATAACTTGTAGGGATTTAAATTCGGAACTTGACATTTGTATGGCAAGCACTGCTCCACTGAGCCGTCTCTCCAACCTGTACAGAGCTACTGATGCACACAACACAGAGAAACCTCCAGGAGGCAGCCAGACTTGAAAGTGCCTTTTTACAACTCCACCTGTCATATTCAAGAGGAGACAGAACTAGTTTGAGAATGGAAAAATTTTGCCAGAAACCAGAGAAGGCAACCTTTTCAACTGTGGGATAAACTTGTAAGGGTATGTAGAATTGCTGGATGTCATTGGGTGCAAACCCCATCTCAAAGTTTTTGTTAAAGTAGCCTTTTAAACACCCCCTGCCCCGCAAGATAGGGTTTCTTTATGAACTAGCTAGAACTACTAGCTCTGTAGAGCAGGCCTCGAACTCAAGAGTCTCCTGCCTCTGCCTCCTGAGTGCTGGGATTAGGGGTGTGTGCCACTGTCACCCAGCCCTTTTAGGCATCTTGATCATATAATCTGTCATTAAATAAACTTGGAAAAAATAGAGTTGAAGGCTCCGAGTCAGTCTGAATTGAATTCAAATCACCCAATGTGGTCACTGGTTCCCTCAACAGCTTTTTTAGTTCCTTAAACCTAAATATCTGAGAAAGTGCATGCAACCTGTCAGCTCACAGGTGTGCTGGACTGGCAGAGGCGACATGGCCAGTTCTTAGTGCGGGGGCTGTTACTTGGTATGGCTCCAGTATGTGTTCACATAGCTAATATGTGGTAGAACTGGGGTTCCAGAGTCAGCTAGCCCTCATGCTCCTACCCAGCTAGCATTGCCTTCAATACTTGTAAGCTACCAACATGGTTTCTGATGGTGTTCTGTGGCTTCCCTTGTGAAACACATTCATCAGCAAGCAAGCAGAAGTGTCTACGAGAAAACCCATGTTCTGCTCTAATGCACTAAGAACAAAGAAGGAAGCAAGATGCTCCAGAGCTACAGGTCTATTTTGACAGGCAAGACAGATGAAGGGCTCACGAGCCTTCCAGGAGTTTTGACCTCTCATCTACAACTAATGTCTTTCTACAAAACAGAAGGCAGAGAAAAATGACACAGCCCACTGTCTATATGGAAGAATTAATTCTCTGAACAACTTCTCAGAGTTGTTCCAGGGTGCTTCTGACCGACCAGGCCATCTGTTGTTTGGGTGGTATGGAGGATGTAACCCAGAAACTCAAGATTAGAGACCATATTACTACTTATTTTAAAAAGCCTGTATGTGGGCCAGTGAGATGACTCAGTGGGTATTGTCACTAGCCTGACAACCAGACCTGTGTCTGATCCCTCACATCGTACTGTGACACATGCATGCATACGGTCAACAGATGTAGTAAATATTTGATAGGGGAGGGGAAAACATGATTAAAGCATACTGTAAAATTTTTTTCAAGGAGTTTAAAAAAATTTAAGCCTGTTTTAAATCTACTGAGATATGACTTCCACAAAATAGTGTATTTCAGAAGTCATTTTTGACAAGATCTCATTCTATAGCCCAGTCTGGCCTTACAGGCATGTACTACCATGCCTAGCACACAGGAGTAGCTTCTAACAATGTAGGTAGCACATGAACATTACCACTCAAGGTACAGAAATCTTCTAATCCCTAAAAGGCTCACTGCTCAGCAGCTAGTCCTAGGCAAAGCTTAGAGGCTACTTCTGCCTGTTCTAGTTCACATGAAGAGAACTGTATAGTGTCCTCTTCTGGGTCTGGCTCCTTCAGCTGGGTATATTAAATTACTCATTCCTACTTATATTAACAATTATTTCTCTTGTGTGGATGTATCACAATTTGTCTGATCTCTAATTGATGGATATTTCAAATATTTGTAGTTTGGGGATACCATGAACTTAACTGCTACATTCATTCAAATACAAACCTGTGTGGACCCAAGTTTTCGTTTCCCTGGGTACGAAGATTGCAACTGAACTGTGGGTGGAAAGGACATGCCTAATCTACATTAGCTGCTGAGCCTCCTTGCTGAAGCAGTTGTACCATTTCAGTCCTGCTGGCAGTTCCAGTTGTTCGTCGTCTCCACTAGCACTGCTGTCTTTTTCCTGTGGTCATTCCAGTGGGTACGCAGTGTGCCTTATGACTGATGATGACCTTGGGCACTTGGTGTGTGCATACACTGGTGATCACTTCCTTTGTGTGATTCTGATAATGTTCAGAGATCAAATCTTGAGAAATCTTGCTTAAAATACCCATGTATGGGGGCTGGAGAGATGGCTCAGGTTAAGAGCACTGGCTGCTCTTCCAGAGGTCCTGAGTTCAATTCCAAGCAACCACATGGTGGCCCACAATCATCTATAATGGGATCTGGTGCCCTTTTCTGGTGTGCAGCTGTACATGCAGCCAGAATACTGTATATATAATAAATAAGTCTTTAAAAAAAAAAAGTTCAGCCGGGTGGAGGTGGCGCACGCCTTTAATCCCAGCACTCGGGAGGCAGAGCCAGGCGGATCTCTGTGAGTTCGAGGCCAGCCTGGGCTACCAAGTGAGTTCCAGGAGAGGTGCAAAGCTACACGGAGAAACCCTGTCTCGAAAAACCAAAAAAAAAAATAATAATAATAATTGCAATTCTTCTGCCTCCCACGTGTGGATTACAGGCATAAGCCATCATGCCCAACTAGTAAACAATTTCTTTAGATCTAATTAGACTATAAATATGGTTACTGGCTAATTTTGGTTCCTGTCCTGGATCTCTCTCTGTAGACCAGACTGGCCTCGAACTCAGAGATATCTGCCTGGCTCTACCTACCGAGTGCTAGAATTAAAGGTGTGCGCCATCACAAACCTTGCCTAAGGTTCAAAAGCTGCCCAGGCTGGTTGGTATTCACCTTGAAATCCTCCTGCCTTGGACTCCCAACTAGCTTGGATTATGGGAGTGGTCCCAGCTTCTGGCATCTCACATCTTGTCCCATATTCTGGATCTTTGTTTAACTGATCGGGTCTGCCCCAATGTCTGGCTTTCAGCCTAACTCCTATTACACTAGCTATTGAAATTAGGCTGATCCTCAGACATGGTTGTAGTAGCCAAGCAACCAGCTCATTTGCTGCTACATCTTGAGAACATGCAGACAAGGCAAAGCTCAAACATCTCTGGCCCTGGCATTGCTCACTGATAGAGCTAACTCTACCAACGAAAGGCTTTTCTCTAAGCCCTCACCACCTGTTTTAATTTCCAAAGACAACTACTGTCTCAAACAACAGGTGAAAGAAGAAAAACATTCAAGAGACTTTGTATCATCTCACTAGTATCCTAAGCAATACTTTCACCAGGTGTGGTGGTACATGGCTATAATCCTTAATTTTGAGCAGTAAAGACTAGAGAACCAGGAGTTCAGGGTCATCTCTGACTATACAATGAGTTGGAGGTCAGCCTGGCCTCAAAAGATGGGGAGAAGAACCTGGATCAGGTAAGAAGGCACTTGCTTTTTGTTTTGTTTTTCGAGACAGGGTTTCTCTGTGTAGCTTTGGAGCCCGTCCTGGAACTCACTCTGTAGCCCAGGTTGGCCTCGAACTCACAGAGATCCGCCTGCCTCTGCCTCCCGAGTGCTGGGATTAAAAGCGTGCGCCACCACCGCCCAGCTGGCACTTGCTTTTTAAATTTAAGTGCATGAGAACCTAAGCTCAACCCCCAGCAAAAAGTCAGGCATGGTAGTTCATGCTTGTAATTCCTGTGCTGTGATACAAAGGGCTCACTGTCCAGAAAATCTAACCTAATTTGTGAGCTCCAGGTCAATAAGACCCTGCCTCAAAGGAGATTACAGCATTCCTCTAAATTATACCCTTAAAAAAAGAAAAAGGGGCTGGAGAGATGGCTCAGAGGTTAAGAGCACTGACTGCTCTTCCAGAGGTCCTGAGTTCAATTCCCAGCAACCACATGATGGCTCACAACCATCTGTAATGAGATCTGGTGCCCTCTTCTGGCCTGCAGACAGACATACATGCAGACAGAACATTGTATACTAAATAAATAAATCTTACAAAAAAAAAAAAAAAAAGAAAAAGAAAAAGAAAAAAAACAGGCAGAATCAAATCGCGATGCAAATGGCTTTAAGTTCTCAAGCTTATCTCAAACTGGACTTGAACCTGTGACAACCCCTCCTGCCTCAGCCCCCCAGTGCTGGGATTATAAACAAGTGGAAACCTTCATACTCAGCTTGTTTTGAAAATAAATAAATTAAGGCAATTTAGCAATGTTATAGCACATAAGACCCTGACGGGGGGGGGGGGGGGGGGGTGATTTAAGAAACAAGAGCAGCTGATTACCAGATGGAGGGATGTGTTTCAATAGTTTGTAAGTTTACCCTCAACAGCAGATTGTCTACCTCAGCAAGCTGTATTTTTTTTTCAGCTGTGAAATATTTTTATTACTGTTTTTCAAGACAGGGTTTCTCTGTGTAGTCCTGACTGTCCTGAAACTTGAGCTGTAGACCAGGATGGCCTCAAACACACAGATCTGCTGCCTCTGCCTCTCTTGTAATGGGATTAAAGGCATTTGATACCATGCCTGCTTCTTAGAATTTAAAACACTATTTCTAATTCTCACCATCTACAATCCAGGGCTAAACCTAAAGTACATGTAAGGATTTATGAAAAATAGTGTAGACCACTGGGATGCAATACAGATAAATAAAGCATTCCTGGCAACCACAAAACTGGGCCTCAATGAAGACAGGTCTCTCTCAAGATTTACTTATGTATACAGTGTTCTGCCTGCATGTATCCCCACAGGCCAGAAGAGGGCACCTGAATACATTATAGATGGTAGTGAGCCACCATGTGGTTGCTAGGAACTGAACTCATGACCTCTGGAAGAGTAGCCAGTGCTCTTAACATCTGAGCCATCTCTTCAGCCCCTGAAGTCCTTTGATTAAACTACATAACCTTGTAGAAGGAAATACAGCTGCGAAGCGTTCACTTGATAAATTGGAAACTTCAGTACCCCCCTATCTGATCTTAAACTTGTGATCCCCGTGCCTCAGCCTCACAAGTGCTTAAGCACTGGGACAACAGGCATATTCCACCATGCTTTTGTTCCTTTCTGCTGTTAAAAAAAAAAAAAAGTTTAAGCCACACCTGGTGGATTGTGTCTATATAGTTCCAACACTTAGGAGGTTGAGGCAGAAGTTTGCAATTCAAGGCCAGCCAAGAATACCTAGCAACATCTCATCTCTAAAACTCAGAACAATCTAGTATCACATAGATGGGCACAAAGGGCCAAATTACTATCACCAAATTTTGGGAACTGCCCTGCCTCCAAAAAAGGTTTTTGAAAAGCGATCTAAACTGGGTTTGGTTGTACACATCTATAATCTTGGCACTGAGGCAAAGGCACAGGGTCAGGAGTTTAAGGTCAGTCTCAGCTACAGAGTGAATTCTAGGTCAGCTCGGACTACATGAGACCATACCCTTAGGCCGCAAAAAGTGATCTTATATATACAATTTTACTAGTTAATATATTATTGTTTCTCCTATATTCTAGAAGGACAAAAGGTATTTGTTAACTACTAGGTAATTATTAGTAGGCAATTAGCTCTTTAATGCAGAAACTGTTGGTTTCATCATATTGGTTACATATTGATTTTATTCAGGCTTGTCAATTAAGAAATACAAACAAGAGACTCTTAGTTACTTCTACAGGTCCAATCTTTCCTTACAGAAGCTGTTAAACACAGCTCTGAAGTAGTGGAGTATAGTCAGCAAGAGAATTGGGTGGAGCAACAGTTCATTGAAATCCACAATTCTGTATTTCCTTCCTTTGGTGCCTTGTACAGTAAGGCACTGTTAAGGATGTTACAGAATAGAGGAAAATACCACAGCAAACAGTTCTAGTGACAACTTACTAAACAAGTTACAATGTAATGATGGTGGTGATGATTGTTTCTTCTCATTTTATTATTAATTTTTACAATAAGAGTATAGATAGCCTTTATACTCCACACTCACACACAAAATAAAACAAGTGCTTATTATGAAACAGTCCCTGCCCCATCCCCCTCAATATACTGAACATAGCAATTTAGTAGAACAGAAAAATCAAGACAAGTCTGATTTCAAATTTTCAATAAAAAAGCAAAAGTAATGAAACAGCTGTTCAACTTCCCACTCTTCATCGGCCCAAACCAAAGAGCCCTGTGTAAGTTTCTCCAGCACACAATCCAGTAGAAATGCTCAACTGTAATCAACTAGTAACTGAGGTGACCAGAACCTTAGAACACAAGTTATATTGCTTCCCTGCCCCCTTTTCTCTTACAGTTGGAGGCACAGGTATCAGGAGATACAAAAGTCACAGGAAGAAGAATTATAAAGAAAAATTCCCCAAAGCTGCTGTTTGGAATACAAAGGAAGACAGTATTTTACAAATGTTCAAAAACTGCAAGCATTAACACAACTCATTCACTATCACTCCTACTTGAAAGACGAGAGATCAGTGTCTTATTATATAAAACTGTACTGTACGTTCAGAATTGTAGTATAGGTTCACCAGAAACTATGGATGTAGTTTAGGCTTTATCAAGGAAAACAGGTTCAGTTCAGATCATTAGATACTAAATATGTATTTTATCTAGCCTGGGTCAGTATCTAGAACTGTCACCCTGAAGGACTGTAAACTAGACAACAGCACGTTAGCTCCACAGGAAGCTTAAGGACTGAAGGTATATACAGAGCTAATTAGATCTCCCCTGCTTCCCGCTCTTCAGAGCTCCTCCTGTCTTCTGATCTGCCATTAGCGCTCTCATAGGACCGCTTCTTATCTTTTCGATCTCGGTCACGAGGTGATCTGTCTCTTGAACTCCTGTCTCTGTCACGGGATGCTAAGTCTTGGTCTCTGAATCTTTCTTTTGAGGATCTGAAAAATATTAATTTAAGGAGCAAAATATGTTGGGACACCCAAAATCCAATGAAAGAATAGGATCAATATTAAGTTTCTGATAGCTGAAGAAATAGATTAGAACACATCTGAGAAGAGTGTCTGACAGAAAAAAGCACTGCAATAGCAGGGGGGGGGGGGGGGGGGGGGGCACCAAAACAAGATTGGTGGCAACAAAGAGATACAGGTAAAAAGCCTAAACTAAACATGACCTATAAATAGTCTTAGTACATTGGAGATAACCATGAAGTTTCTCCAATTAATAAAGAGATATTTAATATAAAAATAATGTATAGGTAATATTTAGCTTTTAAAAGTGAAAAGTATCAGATTCCAAATTGGATGGAAATCAATGAATTAGTACAGAGGTCTTATCCTTTGGGCCAAATGGGCTGACAATAAGGATTTGAAGTGTTGTAAATCACACACAATCTCAGGATGTAAGAGTCTTTCTTTTCTATCGACTTTTAAACTAAAAATGCAGAACCATCCATAGCTTGCTGGCTGTACAAAAACAGGCGCCAGCCACATTTGTTCTATAGGCAGCACTTTGCAAACCTAGGTAACAGAATTACTCAATACTATGGCTTTAAATAACCATTTGCTAATCTAAAAATTTGCTTTACTTGAGTGAATTCATTAAAACCAAAATGGAAGGTATCAAAAACTGATTATACCATAATAAAATACTAACTGCTCCTAATACTACTATCTCCATTCTCATACCCATCTTCAAAAAAAGGTACATAAACAAAACACCCTCATATCAGAAATGCAAATTGAAAAAAACCCAACAAAACCCAAAGACATTACATAGGATCTCACTATATTGGTTAGCATAGAATATACACTTTCAACACCTATAATGAATTAACAACAAATATTACATTTATTTTGTTCTTTACAGGTGATACAGAATGTTTATACATAATTTATCTCAACCAAGGTTTAAAATTATGATCAGAGGCACTGCCAAGTCCTACATAATACTTTTTTTTTGTTAAGAGTTGGGAGTTTAAAAATGCTACTAGCCCTGAAAAAGCAATACTTTCAGAAAAACATAAGGCAAGATAAAAATACTACTGTAACCAGTTTTAAAAATATAGATAAGGAGAACATTGTAGTTTAGATATAAAACAGTTCAAAAGGCTCATGTACTGTTGACTTGAAACTGGTGGGTGGTGCTACAGAAAACTGATGAGGTCATGAAGATGATACAATCAATGAATTAACCCACTCTAAGTTCATAACTAACCAGCCATTATGCGGTGGATTCTGGCAGGACGAAACAAGTCAAAAGAGGAAAATCTTACTCTATCTTGTGCCTAACACCTTGTTCTCTATTTCTTCTGCCAAAAGGTGAACCACTTTACTCCATTACAGGCTCCCTGCCCTGGCATTCTGGTTCACCAGGCATGGGCCCAGAAGCAATTCAAAAGTGGCCATGAACTGAAATCTCAGAAAATGTGAGCTAAAAAATTCCTTCCTTTCATAAATTGTTTTCAAGTGCTTTATCATAATACAAAGATATGGTAACACAGATGATTAAAATAAAAGTTTGAAAAATTAACACCAACTTAGAGCATACTACTTGAGATTTTATAAGCCTTTTTTCCCTTTTGTTTTGTTTTCTGAGTCAAGGTCTTTCTCCCTAGCCCAAACTGGCCTTAATTTTTGGCAAGCCTCCTGACTCAGCCCTAGAGTCTTACTTAGCATTACAGGAGCTCTTGCTTAATAAGCATTTAAAAAATAATATGCTTAAAAGACATAAAAGTCACATTCCAAGTCTACACAAGCCATCTCCAAAGCCTCTATTAATGATGATAGAAATGATCAATAGGATGCTGGCAAGTTCCTGAGGTCAGTGACAGTAACTGAAAAATAAAGACATGAATTCATGTTTGTACAAGATCACAAATACTCTACATGCAGAGTTTCTTATGTGTTGCTAATGAAAGCCTAATAAGCCAAATATTCCTATTAACTATTTAATGAAAGAGACAAACAACAGGATATAATTAAATTATTGGGCAAAGACTACCTGACAGAACACCCCAAAAAGCACAAGGATGCTGAAGGTCTTCACTGACCTGTGGGAACTGTTGCCAAGACAAGGTTCATATAGATAACTCACTTGTAGCAGAGACCAGTACTTCACAGCAAGGGCAAGAAAACAGCAAAATGTCAAGACTTTTTAATGGACTCTCTTTACCATCAAAAACTAAACTCACATATATACCAATAATTTGATGTTTTATATATATGAAACAACAATAACTACTTGCTTTTTTGTTAAAAACAATGTTGTTTTAAAAGTAATTTGAATTCCAAGATATGAAATACTCTTGAAAAAGCAAAATTTTAATAGTTTTACAAAAATAATCCTCTTTTGAACATGCTGAGTATGGTGGGAAGTTTTCCTATATAAATAAACTTCTCAAGTACAGGAAGCATCAAGATGACACAATGATAGGACACTACTCCCCACCCATCCCTCCCATTTCCACCACCAATAGACATGTAAGATAAACACCAGAAAAATGACAGCTGGGCAGGTCAACACAGAATCATCTAGATCCTTTTCCACCTAGCCACACAATTCTCAGATTAGTGTGCAGATTTCAAATCATCAAGATCATTAAGAAAATGTTTATTTCTGAACACTGCACTGAGGACAGCCTCTAAATTCCAGTTTCAAAATGTGAGAAAGAGACCTATAGGTATTTTCCTACTTGTTTAATTACAACCATTTATTCAAGACTGAACCATTATCTGAAACCATTTTTAAAAATCATTATGAAATTTTCACTATCTAGATTTATATAATTTGCCCTATGATATCCAGTTTAGCACTTTATAATCTGTGGTCAAGTATGTTCCCACACAGAAAACGCCTTAGAGCAACATGAATATAGTTGTTTACATACACTATTATTTCTTTGCTACTTTTAAAACTAAGCCTAGCACAGAGGAAAGTTATCTAATTCTTAAAGCCAGGCACAGTGTTATACACCTATAATCCCAGCACTCAAGAGGAAGCTGAGAAAAAAGGATTATGAATCTGAGGCCAGTTTGGGCTACATAAGACCTTGTCTCCCCCGACCATTCCCCCCAAATCATCCCTCCCCCCACAAATAAACTAGTTAGAATCACTTCAAGGGCTACTTAGAAGAAGGACAGAAAGATATCAAATAAAATATTGATTGGAAGCCTATTAAGAAAGTGAGCTTGTGATTTCAGAGAATGGGTAATTCAGCCTAAAACAAAGATTCTGCCAGCTTTCTGTGGATTCAACCATGAACTTTATGTGGAGTAGCCACAGAAAGCCTAGGACTAGTAACTAGGCACACTCCAAGTGTTTCTCCTACATGAACCTAAGCATGGTTGTTGAGGGAAAAAGTAATTTTAAGTATAATTTATGTTCCATAGGATTATCATGTGACCTGAGTTTTGGGAGTTTAACAGCTCCACTACATTCTAACCCTTAGTCTGCTCTCATTGCATATTTTGAGGTTTCCTGCTATACTAAGAAGTGCTGTAGCTTCTCAAAACTCAGAATCTTCCCATCACACTAAAGATGAACACAAAAATGTATGTTTTATACTGCAGATTAAACAACATAGTAGAATATGTTTGCTCTTTAGAAGTGCACCAGCTCCAAGTTTGGAAAACAGGCAAACAAAGCTAAATAATTCTTTTAATGAAAGGACTTCACAGAGTCCCTAATTTGTTAATACATATTGAAAAACAAACAAACAAACAAAAATCCCCAAAACCTCATGAGTACCTAAAATTATTTGCCTGTAAAGTAGGTTTATCAGCATCCCTCCCACCTCCCCAACATCCCAAGTAAAGAAAAGCAATAACCTCTGCACATACTGGCTCCAATTTCTTACTCTGGCTCACACGGAACTCTGGATGAACTACCCATACAATCAGAAAAAATGCATACACCTACAATTGAGTACATATCAATACCAGGTGCAAGTTTCAAACCAATAATCTAAGCATAAGTAACATAAGTAAACAAAAGGCTAAACATAAAGGTAGCTCCGCATCCTCTGATCGGCACTTCAGTACCTCCTCTTGGATCGCTCTCTGCTCCTATCTCTAGAGCTGTGTCGACTTCTCTGGTGGCTGCGGCTGCGGCTGCGGCTACTGGAACGGGACCTGTGGCGATGTCGTTTCTCCCGAGACTTGGATCGAGTCCTCCTCTTGCGTTCTCGTGACATGGAGCGAGATCGGTGTCTGCGATGCTCTCTGGATCTAGATCTACAAGAAAATAATTTATTTCACTGTTAGTGCTACAAGTTTTTCTTTTAAAAAGAAGCCGGTTTTGTTTTTTTCCTTTTTCAGTGATGTGTGGCCAGGAAATGGTGGTGCATGCCTTTAAACCCAGCACTTGGGAGGCAGAGGCAAGCAGATCTGAGTTCAAGGATAGCCTACAGTCTGATCTACAGAGTGAGTTCCAGGATAGCCAGAGCTACACAGAGAAACCCTGTCTTGAAAAAGCAAACCAAACCAAAAAACAAACAAACAAACAAACAAACAAAGTGATGTATGTACTCATGGGCATATCACAGGACATAAGGAGAGATTAGAGGACAAACTTTTGTTGAGTCTCTCTCCACAATGTGAATCCCAGGAAATGAACTCAGGTTATCAGGCTAGGTGGCAGGGACTTTAACCAGCTGGGCCATCTTGCCAAGACTGCGAAGTTACTCTTCAGTAGCTGTATTTGATTGCAATTCTATTCTAAACAAACTCATGAACAATGCAAATACATTGCTAGTATATTAATGACTAGATACTAGAATTTCAAAATAAAAAAGCTAGAGCACCAATTCCCAGAAGTACCAATACTGTATAAATTTATGTCAGTTAACTAGGGATGTAGTGAAAGGGGGATATAATATGGAAATGATAAAAGGATGGATCATTGAATCTACTTTTAAACAACTACTGATCTCAGATATTTTACATTGGTACGGATCTTTGTATACTGATACAAATTTAGGGTTATTTTTGTCATACTGTATATGTTTCTACTCTTATTTAAAGTACTGTACTTTATGCAGCTCATTTTAAAAGGTTATGTAAAGTTTTGGTCTTTGAAAGCTATTTAGGATATTAAAGAAATACAGGTTAGTAGTTATTCATCTCTAACAATCAAACTTAACCTTATGTTACGAAGTTTTCAAGGTCAAACAGAGATATATTTTAAATAGATGGTCTTCAAACACTGCAAAGATCTGTTTTAGTAACATAAGGCTTTTCACAACAATGAGACACGTCTGCTCCTGGCAGCAGCAATCTACTTCATAAAAAGATGACGAGCGCCAGGCGGTGGTGGCGCACGCCTTTAATCCCAGCACTCGGAGACAGAGGCAGGTGGATCTCTGTGAGTTCGAGGCCAGCCTGGTCTACAGAGTGAAGTCCAGGGAAAGGTGCAAAGCTACACAGAGAAACCTTGTCTCCAAAAAAAAAAAAAAAAAAAAAAGAAAGAAAAGATGATGAGCACTGAAGAACCTCCATAGTTTGCTTTCTTTGTGATGAAAATTGCCTTTGCCTAGACTGCTGACAGTATGCTGTTCAAACTGGACAAGCAGGACACAATAGGAAGCGAATACCAAACTTTGCCAAGACAAAATTCCTGCAGGCCAAAGATGGATGCCTCAATGTTACAGAGGAACCTTGGGTGACTGTACAGGTAGCCAGATGTCTCTGTCATTTCTATAGTTTTGGAAGTTGTTTGCTCTACACTTCCTGTTGACTCAAGTACTATTTTATCCTTTTCGGGTGTCTAATGGAGTTGAAGACAAGATAGTTATAGATTTCTATGTTACCTAATTAAAAAAAACTTACCAAAGAGATGTAAAATATATAGGTTGAGAAACATAAAAGCTTAAGTTGTTTATCTAAAAAGATATTTTAAGATCTAAAAAGATATTTTCAGGATGGCAATACAAGTTATGATTTAAAAAAAATGGTCTAGGTATAAAACTTTGGAACAGATAATTCTTATTTTTTTTTTTTTCCAGAGCTGAGAACCAAACCCAGGGCCTTGCACTCTACCACTGAGCTAAATCCCCAACCCCTGGAACACATAATTCTTAATCTGATAATTGTTCTTATTGGATATAATTTTATTGTGTTAAGAGTTAAAACCTTTCCTTTTCATTTAGACAAAAAGGGGGACATGTGGAATCATCTTTTTGTATACTGTGAAGATGTGTCACTCTGACTGGTTTAATAAAAAGCTATAGCTAGGCAGGATTTCCAGTCACAGAAGACACTGGGAAGAAGGGGCAGAAATAAGGGAACACCGAGGAACTAGGAAAGCAGGATGAGCAGTACATAGGTGAGGTAAACAAGCCTAGGGCAGCACATAGATTAATAGAAATGGGTTAATTTAAGTTATGAGAGCTACCTAAAAACAAGCCTAAGCTATTGGTTAAGCTTTCATAATTAGTAAGTCTCCATGTGGTTATTTGGGCGCTGGCAGGCAGGACAGAAATAAACTCACTACAACTGTTGCTCAGTGATACAAAACTTGCTTAACACCCAAGGGGCTAATAGGATCCACCCCTACTATTAGACAGAAAAAAAAAAAGCTAAATGGATAAAAGGTAGAGAGTGGATCTCAGCACACACCTATAAACTCAGCTAAGGGCAGAGGAAGGAGGGTTGGCTGATAAAACACAAACCCCAGATTCAGACAAGGGCTATAGAAGACAATACCAAAGCCCTCTTCTGACCTTCATACGACACATACATACACACACACTCACACATACACAGGTACAAGCAAAACACATACACACATAAAAATAGTAATAAAAAAAGATTTATCAGGGGAAATTGTGGTGGCACATTGAATTTGAGGCTTGCCAGGGCTACAAACACATAGTGAGAGTCATTTATAAGCTGTATCAGGGGCTGGAGAGATGGCTTAGCTGTTAAGAGCACAGGCTGCTCTTCCAAAGGTCCTTATGAGTTTAATACCCAACAACCAGATGATGGCTCACAACCATCTATAATGGGATCTAATACCCTCGCCTGGCATTCAGGCATACATGTAGACAAAGCATTAATACTTAAAAAAATTTTTTTAAGGCTGTATCATAAATATGAAAGAAAAACAAAGGCAACAATCAGTATTACCACTTCACGTCAATTTTTAGGGTTTTTTTTTTGCATACGTAAGAAATATAGGGGGAGCTAGAAAGATGGCTCAACAATGCATGCTGCTCTTCTACAACTGAGTTCAATTCCCAACATGTACATGAGGAGGCTTACAATCACTTATAATTCTAGTTCCAGGTAACCTAACATGCTCTTCTGGCTGGCTTCCAAGACCATCCCCTCTACACACATGGCATATACTCACAAATAAAAATAAATCTTACAAAACCACCACCACCAAAAAAACCAACCCCTGCCCACCAAAATAAAAAAAACAAAAAACAAAAAAAACAAGGAAAGAAATTAAATGTATTAGATGCATATGAAATAAAGAAGGAATGATAATAAAGAATATTTATGGATAAACCATCCTTTATTTGAATTATATTTTGACCACTGAATTTTTGAATGCCCATAGTAAGTCAAAAATTACAATGTAAACAAACAAATATAATTTGGGCATTTTACCAAAACATGTATGTGTGTGGTGATATATGTGTGTGTTTGTGTGTAATGAGGGTGGACATAGCATGGAAAGAACAGAAACATGTGAGGGAACACAAGATGAAGAAAAGTATACTGTTTGTTTAAAGTCACTTTAAGAGTGAGAGAAGGGCCGGGCGGTGGTGGCGCACACCTTTAATCCCAGCACTCGGGAGGCAGAGCCAGGTGGCTCTCTGTGAGTTCGAGGCCAGTCTGGACTACCAAGTGAGTCCCAGGAAAGGCGCAAAGCTACACAGAGAAACCCTGTCTTGAAAAACAAACAAACAAATAAAAAAAAAAAGTGAGAGAAGGGGTGATGTGGGTGACGCATATTTGTAATCTCAGCATTTAGGTGGAGGAAGTAAGACGACAGTAAGTTCATGGGCAGCCTAGGACACTATAGCACATGTCAAAAATACAAAACAAATAAAAACACCAAAATGTTTTAAGCTGGATTGTGTTGATAATTCTGCAAACAGCTCCTCACAAACTTAAAATTGACAAATCTTATGGCATATAAATTGTACCTCAATAGTATGGTTAAAAATGTTTCAAATTACCATAATGTTATTTTCTCGTAACTTCAAAAGTGTAATAATTGTGTGATAGTTTGTTTTTAAATTAATATTTTAGGGTTTTTTGTTTTTTAATTTGATACAGTCTCACCATGTACCAGGCTGGTCTTGGACTCTCAGAGATCTGCCTGCCTCTGGCTCCCAAGTGCTGAGACTGAAAGTGTAAGCTACCACACCTGGCTACAGAAGAATTTTCATTAAAAAAATAAATAAATAAATTATATATATATATATATATATATATATATAATATATATATATATTATTTCATTTGTATGTGTATGAGTGCTTTGCTTGAATGTCTGTGCACTATATGCATGCCTGATATACACCAAGGTCAAAAGAGAGCACTGGATCCCCAATAGCTGGAATTAGGGACTGCTATGATCTGCCATGTGGTTGCTGGGAATAGAAGCTGGGTCCTCTGCAAGAACAAATGCCCTTAAGAACTGAGTCATCGCTCTATCTCCTATAGAAGAATTTTAAAAGCACTTAGCTCCAGTCTGTATTATAGTCAAATAAAGGTACATATTATACACTTCATGTCTAACCACAATTGAATAGTTTCTTCAACTAAACACAGTTATTTCTCATATAGCCAATGGTGGCCTCAAACTTGCTCTGTGTAGCTGTGGATGACCTTGATTTGAACTCCTGGATCTCCTGCTTCTGCCTCTTGAGCACTGGAATTACAGGCAAATACTGGGGTTATAGGAATGTGCTATGACACCTGGCTTTGAAGAACATGTTTCTAAAAAAGGACATAGGAAGGCTGTCTATCTGTCTGCCCATACATCCATCATGAGAGAAAGGTCAACCTATTTACCTATGTATCTGTCAGTCTGTCTGTCTGTATCTCTCTACCTACCTACCTACCTACCTACCTACCTACCTACCTACCTATCTACCTACCTACCTACCTACCTACCTATCTATCTATCTATCTATCTATCTATCTATCTATCTATCTATCTATCTATCTATCTATCTATTTTTCTATCTATCTCATGAGATGAAAAAGCAACAGGAATGATGGTACATGTCTTAATTGGCACTTGGGAGGGACAGGTAGGCAGACTGCTATGAGTCTGAGATTAATCTTGTCTATATGAGACCAGACAGGGCTACATAGTGACACCCTGTCTCCAAAGTAAAACAGAGATTAGAGAAGTAGCTTAATGATCGAGAGCACTGGCTGCTCTCAAAGAAAACCCAGGTTCAATTCCTAACACCAACATGGTGGCTCACAACCATTTGTAATTCCAGTTCTGGGTGATCTGGACACCCTTTTCTAAACTCCGTGGGTACTAGGCATACACGTGGTACACAAAATAAAAGAAAAATTAAATAAAAATCTACTCAAAAGAAGTTTATCAAATGGTATTTTTAACCACTCATTTTGACCTAGTTAACCTATTTCATCTAATACATAATTTAATGCAACTTTTTAAAATGTCTACATAATAATTATTCATGCAAAATATACTTACTAGGTACCTAGCCCATTGCACCTTTTTAGTTACAAGGGAAAAGGAATAGTAAAATAAAATCAAGTGCCTGAACTGTTGGAGATTATAATCTAGAAACAAGTCTCTAGAGATCTACCTCTAGTAAAGAAATAAGTAAATGGAGAAATGGGTAGGAATAGTTTACATAATGCAGGCAGAAAAGGATTTTCTGACAGGATGGCATTTGAGCAAAGACTGAAAAAGAGAAGAAGCAAATCAGTCACCATAGCGAATAGCATCCAGGTATAAAGTCCTGGAATGAGAGCAAGTTCAACATGTTGAAGGCACAACAGAAGAAACCTGCTTGGCTACAATGAAGTGAGTAAAGAAAAGCAACACTGCAGTTTAACAAACATGAAGATCAGTATTTTATCATTCAAACCAGGAAGCTCTAAGGGGCGTATTACACAAAGTGAGTGGGGGAAGTATTGTGTGACAACAAATATAAACAACTATCTCAGGGTATGCAGAATCACATACATAGACACTCCACTAAGGATACAGTGCCAGATGTGGTGGTACACAGCTGTAATCTCATTGTTAAGGAATATAGAGGTAGGAGGATAATGAATTCAAGCAAGACCCTGCCTGGGAAAACAATTAACTAGGTATGTTGACACATGCCTGTAATCTTCCCTAACAGTGCCAGAAGACAAACTGGAGCCAAGCAGGGCTACACAGTCTTAAAAACAAAACCAAACAAAATCCACACAATAACAACAAAATTGATTGATTTTTTTCAAACTGACTTGAAAGAAGGAAAGAAAGAAAGAAAGGAAGGAAGGAAGGAAGGAAGGAAGGAAGGAAGGAAGGAAGGAAGGAAGGAAGGAAGAAAGAAAGAAAGAAAGAAAGAAAGAAAGAAAGAAAGAAAGAAAGAAAGAAAGAAAGAAAGGAAGGAAGGAAGGAAGAAAGAAAGAAAGAAAGAAAGAAAGAAAGAAAGAAAGAAAGAAAGAAAGAAAGAAAGAAAGAAAGAAAGAAAGAAAGGAAGAAAGGAAGAAAGGAAGGAAAGAAAGAGAAAATAAATCCTGGGCTGGAGAGATGGCTCAGCAGTTAGGAGCACTGGCTGCTCTTCCAGAGGACCTGGTTCAATACCCAGCCTTACATGACAGCTCACAACTGTCTGTAACTCCAAGATCTGACACCCTCACATAGACATACATGCAGGTAAAACACCACATAAAATAAAAATTAAAAAAAAAAAATTCTGTCATATATTTACTGAATTTCTAGAATATTTTTAAAGAAATAGCTCGGCTGTCTGTAGGTGCCATGTCAGGCCGAGAAGGTGGCAAAAGAAGCCTCTGAAACAGTCCAAGAAGCAGGCCAAGGAAAGACAAGAAGATAAGGCTTTCAAGCAGAAACAAAAAGAGCAGAAGACCCCGGGCGGTGGTGCTGGGCGGTGGTGGCGCACGCCTTTAATCCCAGCACTCGGGAGGCAGAGCCAGGTGAATGTCTGTGAGTTCGAGGCCAGCCTGGGCTACAGAGTGAGTTCCAGGAAAGGTGCTAAAGCTACACAGAGAAACCCTGTCTCAAAAAACCAAAAGAGCAGAAGAAACTCAGGGAGCTAAAAGCCAAGACCATGGGGAATGGACCCCTGGCCACAAGTAGAAATAAGAAATCTGGTAAAAAAGAAAGAGATTCCTCATATCTGAGATGATGGTGACCCTCTTCCATTCTTATTTAAACATCTGGATTCCCTGCTATAACATCTTTGCCACCTACAGCAAGAATGAAGTGTTATCCTGGAGCGTGTTAAACATCTGGATTCCCCACTATAACGTCTTTGCCACTTATAGTCAGAATGAAGTGATATCCTGGATCCTGTTGTATACTGTAATAAACTTTTGCAATAAATAAATAAATAATACAAAGGCTCATCGTCTCTAGTGTTCAGCCATTGCTAGCTCAGCTGTATTGTAAAGTAAACCCAGTCTGAAATCCTACTAGAGCCTGGAGTTTCATCTTTGCAGTACTCTGAATTCTGTATCACTCTGAATTAAACTAATTCATTTAAGGGGGGAGGGGGAGAAAAAAAGGAAAAAAAAAAAAGCTCAAATCTGAACTAACAAAAAGTCAATGATAACTTTTTTTTTCTTTCCAAGACAGGGTTTCTCTGTGTAGCGCTGGCTGTTCTGCAACTCACTCTGTAGACCAGGCTGGCCTCGAACTCACAGAGTCACACCTGGCATCTGCCTCCCAAGTGCTGGGAATAAAGGTGTGTGCCACCACTGCTCACACAGTCAATACTAATTTATTGATTCTCACTGAAATTTACAAGATATATAACCTAAAAACCACACATTTGAAAAACACAGCTTCACTATTTTATCCATCTTCTACAGTACCTACCTTTTGGGATTCTTGCTATGTGAGCGGGACCTAAAAAAAGAATATCTACTTTTAGAGAAATGACTATATAAAGTTTTTAAGCTGGCACAATGTGCTGGTAAATTACATTCTTCTTGAGTTCTGACTTTCACTTCTATAAAAACAAGTCATGTACTTATGGATCCTCATCTCCTCCCAGCAAAAAAACTCTACAGAATTCTGCTTAGAAAAGTATATACTTAGAAAAGAATATACTTCTGGAGACTGAAACTGTGTGCTTATCACGAAAACAATTCTCCAGAAACCATTTCCTAAACCAGAACAAGAGCAGAAAAAAACAAATAACAACAACCAAGGCTTTTTTTGTTATCCATTTACATGAATTATATTCTTTAAAAAATTATTTTTAAGTGTGTGTGTGTGTGTACATGTGAATCTGGGTGTGCATGACTCAGCAGGCTAGATGCATTGGATCCCCTGGAGCTGGAGTCACAGGAAATTGATATTTACCTAATGTGTATGCTGGCAACTGGACTCAGGTGCTCTGGAAGAGCAATACATGTTCTTAATCACTAAACTATCTCTCCAGCCCCAAAATTATTATATTCCTTTTTTAAAAAGTGTGTGTTTGTCTGCATGTGTGTATGTTAACCATGTGCAAGTCTGAAGTCAGAAGAGGCTGGATCCCCAGAACTGGAGATATGGATAGCTGCGAGCCACCATGTGGGTGTTGCTTTTAAACTGCCAAGCCATGTCTCCAATTTCCAAAAGATCCAGCCCCAGATTATAATCTTACATAACTAACTCCTTACATTTGCCAGTACAGTGTTAGTACTCAATAAACAAACAATTCCAAACACTTCAGGGGTGCATATATAATAGCAAATATATTTTAAATTATGATTTGAGTTGTATTAACTATGGTTCTATCCATTCACTGTCTGTGCAACCAGGGGAAAATTATATATCCTCCCTTAGTTTAATCTATCATTTGAAAGACAGGAATAGCAATATAAATATCATTAGGTATAAAATGTCTGGGGCTGGAGAGATGGATCAGAGAGGTTAAGAGCAGTGACTGTTCTTCCAGAGGTCCTGAGTTCAATCCCCAGCAACCACATGGTGGCTCACAACCATCTGTAATGAGATCTGGTGCCCTCTTCTGGCCTGTAGACATACATGCAGGCAGAACATTGTATACATAATAAATAAATAAATCATAAATAAATAAATAAATAAATGAATGAATGAATGAATGAATGAATGAATAAATAAATAAATAAAATGTCCCCCAAAAGTTAATGTGCTGATGATCTGGTCACAAACTGGTATATCTAATCATCTAAAGCTAACTGGATCATAAGGGCTATTATCCAATCAATGGATAATAATCTACAATTTTTTTAAATCTGTGCATGTATACCCCATGCACGTGGATACCTGTGGAAGCCAGATGTTGGATCCCATGGAGCTGGGAGTTACAAGCAGTTGTTACAGCTCAATGTGGCTGCTGGGAACCGAAAATTTTCCTAAAAGAGTGGCAAGCACCCTTAGCCATTTCTCCAGCCCCTAAATGACAGATTCTTAATTTGATGGTACTGTTAGGTTATAGAAATCAGTAGGTGAGCCCTAGTTCAAAGAAATGGGTTCTTTGAAGGGAAGATCTTATGTCTGGACCTGTCCTGTCAACTTATTGTGCTTGCCAACCTTGCAGTAAGCAGCTTTTCTCTACCATGATCCTTTGTATCTTTCAGTCATCATGATGTTCTTTCTGCCTTAACCACAGGCCCACAGCAATGGAGCCAGTAGACCAGGTGCTAAAACTTCTGAATCCATGAGTCAAAATAAATCTATCTTCTTTTAAACTGTTTCTCAAGTATTTTCTAACAGCAATGAAAACCTAATACAGATCAGATAAACTAAGGCAAATTTCTTAACAGAGCCTAGCATATAGCTAGCTAGTAAATGACATAATTTTTTAGTTGATTATATCAGGAGAAACTAAAAACCAGCTTGTTTTATAACTTTATCTTATGAACATATTTACAGTACTTCCTCAATTTCACAGCATTTAAAGGAGAAAACTGCTTCGACTTTGTTTGGTTTTGAGGCAGTCTTACACTGCAGGCCAGGCTGGCTTTGAACCAGATAGTCTAATGAATGCTAAGATTAGAGATATGAACCACCACACTTGCTTTGTTTGTTTTTGGGGGATGAGGACTCACTATGTAACTTAGGCTGGTTCCAAACTCTACATAGCCTAATCTAGCCTCAAGGCTGCAGGTCCTTCTACTTCAGATTCCTGTGTGCTGGGATTACATGTATGCACCACCACGCCACCACATTCATCCAAGAGGGTTTTATACTTTGGAATCAAAAGGAGTAAGAGGTGACTGATTGACTTTCTCACCATCTACAAATATTACAGTCGTATAACAAAAAAAATATGAGGTAGCCAGGTGGTGGTGGTGGTGGTGCTGGTGGTGGTGGTGCTGCTGCTGCTGCTGGTGGTGGTGGTGGTGGTGGTGGTGGTGGTGCTGGTGGTGGTGGTGGAACTTGGGAGGCAGAGGCAGGTGGATCTCTATGAATCTGAGGCCAGCCTGGTCTACAGAGTGAGTTGTAGGACAGCCAGGACCACACAGAGAAACCCTGTCTCAAAAATAAAAATAAAAACAAAAAATGAGATCGTTTGACCAAGTCAGTTGAATCTTAAATTGATAATTCCAACACTATATAAAATGCTTATCTACACTATTCTAAATAATGCAATATTGAACAACATCCTTAGAAAAAACAGCCTAGGACTGAGCATAGTGACAGACTGCTTGAAATCTCTGCACTCAGGCAGTTGGCCTGGGTTACACAACAAGACCTAGGTTTAACAACCAAGTAAGCTAGATATGATGGTATGTACACTTTAAAGAGGTAGGCGGCTCTCTTTGAGTTCAAGGCCATTCTGCTCTATAGAGGTCCAGAATAGCTAGGGATACACAGAGACCTTGTCTTAATAATAATAATAATAATAATAATAATAAAGCAACAAGAGACGTTGTCTCAGTAAGGTGAAAGACAAGAACCAATTCCAGAAAACTTCCTCTGACTTACACACACACACACACACACACACACACACACACACACACACACACACACACACACACACGGGAGGTACTGACACAGCCGCCCCCGACAAACAGAAACTAACTTGGGGGGGAGCACATAACCTCAGCATACACTAAAAACAAAGAGGCTAAGTCCTGAAATAAAACTTGTTAAATGGAAAACACAGGGAGAGAGAAATGGTGAAGGGGGTGAGACAGTAAGAAAAGTAGAGAAAGAAAGAGACAAAGAATTTCTCAAGACAGATGACACACCATTGTACTGTTTTGTCCTTAAAATTAAAAAAGGCTGCCAGCTAAAAGCCCGTGAAGTGGCTCAGTAAAAAGCCTGGTGGCCCAAGTTCAGCTCCCATGGTGAAAGTCCTGACCTCCACTTGTGCAGTGTGACACACGTGTGCCTGCCATGTGTATGAGCAAGTGCACACATGCACACACAGCTATGTAACACAAAATAAAGTTCACCTAAACTGAGAATAATATGCTCAGAGCTTTTGAGTTACCATGATCAATAATTAATTATCTTAGGGACTTACAGTATCTCAGAGAAGGTACTTAAATTCCAAAGACATAATGCAATCAGGAGAACGCTATCAAAAAATTTCTTTGTGGCATGACTGTCTATTATAAAGTGCTTAAAGTTCTGAACATGTTGCCAATGGGTAACAACAACTTACAAGATGTTTAAATACTCCAAATATGAAAACACTAAATTTATAGGTTAATACGAGCAGACTTGCTATATCAAGTTAATGAATTTTTATAATTTATGGCTCTTCTGGGAAGGGTGGCGCATGGGAGGCAGAGGCCAGTCTGGGTACACAGAACAGCCAGAACTACACAGAGAAACCCTGTCGTGAAAAACAAAAGACAAAAACCAAAACAAAATAAAATAATTTATGACTTCTACAATTGAGAAGATAGTAATAGCTTAATATAAAAACAAAAACTCTCAAATCTTTCCTCAAAACGTATAAAAGGTGGCATGTTAGAGTGCTTGCATGCACTAAGCCCTGGGCTCAAGGCCTAAGACTACCACCAAAAAAAGAAAAGGCCACAGTTCTGTGCAAAAAGGTACAAATCAAAATCTAACCCAGTATAAAAAAAAAAAAATCAATGGGTAGCAAGAGGTTTACTGTAACTCATTCAACCTAAAAGACACAAGACAGCCCTTATTTGCTTTCCCAAATTTCTTGAAAGAAATCACATCAGCTCAGTTGAATGGCTAAGAGCTGTTAAAGGCCGAACATCCCCAGCATGAAAATGTGAAATCCAGACATGATACACAAAAACTAGGATTTCTGGATCTTCATATTTTAAATTAGAGATGCTAAACAAGTAATGCTTATTTACTCACAGACTCTCCAATTCAGAAACTTCAAATTTTTGAACATTTCTGGTTTAAAGCATTTTAGATAAATACAAGCTACTGAATCTGTATTATTTCTATTAAAATGGTCTTGCATGGTAATTTTTTGTTTGCTTGTTTTTGTTTTCTGAGACAGTGTTCTCTGTGTAGCATTGGCTGTCCTAGAACTCACTATGTAGACTAGGCTGGCCTCAAACTCAGAGATCACCTGCCTCTGCCTCCCAAGTACAGGGATTAAAAGCATGCATCACCACAACCCAGCCCTACTAATCTTTTGATTGGCTTTTTTCTAAAATGTGTTTGACCGTCTCATTCTTTCTATCTTCATGCCATTTAATATCTCTAATTGTTTTTTTTTTTTTAACTATTACATTTTAATTTATTTTGTGCGCCCCCATGTGCCACAGTATGACATGACATGCTATTAGAGGTCAGAGGACAACTTTTGGGAACTGGTTTTTGTCTTCTACCTTGTGGGTCTCTGGGACTGACTGCCACCATGCCCAGCTTGCACTGCAACATTCTTTTTTTTTTTTTTTTTTTTGGTTTTTTCGAGACAGGGTTTCTCTTTGTAGCTTTGCACTGCAACATTCTTTAAAGGCAAAAATTTCAAAATTCCTATGCCCAGAACCACTTTAATAGCATCTTCAAGTCATATTCCCTTCAGGCTGGAGATTGAGCTTCAAACACATGCACTATTCTGATGCCATTCATACCTCCTCAGTTTCTCCCGTTCTTCTCTCTCCCTCTCTTCTCTTCGTTTCAGACGTTCCTGGTTTCTTTTCTCCTGCTTCTCAGCTACAACTCTCTGTAAAATAATAATAATTTAAAAATCAGTTGTAAATTTATTGGGCAAATCTTTAAGTATCTTTACCTTAAACTATATGTCTTCCCATAAACTACAATTAACATAACTTAAAATTTCGTCTGGTACAATTATTAGACTTCCAAGATAAGTTTCCATAATTGTGGAAAACATGTAAAATTTCACGTTTCACCATTACTTGTTTTTTTTCAAGCATGCTGAGTTCCAGCCCCACCCCTAACATTCCTTAATGACATTAAAAAAAAAATCACATCTACAGGATAGAGAAATGGTTCAGAGGTTAAGAGCACTGACTACTCCTCCAAAGGTCCAAAGTTCAATTCCTAACAACTACATGATGGCTCACAACCACCTATAAAAAGATCTGATGCCAAGCCGGGCGGTGGTGGCGCACGCCTTAAATCCCAGCACTCGGGAGGCAGAGGCAGGCGGATCTTTGTGAGTTCGAGGCCAGCCTGGTCTACAGAGCGAGATCCAGGAAAGGCGCAAAGCTACACAGAGAAACCCTGTCTCCAAAAAAAAAAAAAAAAAAAAAAATCTGATGCCAAGTCGGACAGTAGTGGCACATGGCTTTAGTCCCAGCACTCAGGAGGCAGAGGCAGGTAGATCTCTGTGAGTTCGAGGCCAGCCTGGACTACAGAGTGAGTTCCAGGACAGGCTCCAAACCTTTACAAAGGAACCCTGTCTGGAGAAAACCAAAAAAAAATCTGATGCCTTCTTCTGGCATGCAAGCAAACATAACAACTGTATACATACTAAATCATAAAAAAAAATTGCATCTACATGATCTTCCCTCTGTTTCTCACCATTATAATACATTTTAAACAGAGTCTCAATACTGTTGAATCAGAATAAACACTACTATTCAAAAACTATCTGTAATTACAGTAGTAGGCAGGCTAAGACAAGAACTGTCAGTAGTTCAAGACCAACCAGAACTACACAGCAAGACCTTGTCAATGAAATCAAAAGAAAACTGATAGAATAAATAGAGTGAGGGATATTAATTTACACAATGTACCTTTAATTCTTCGAGTTTCTCTCTTATTTCAATAAATCCCAGGTGCAGTTTACCCCCAAAATGATCAGCAAGTCGCCTGTCATTATCATGAAGACCTAAATATGCAGAACAGACTTCACAGACTCGAAGTTTCTGCTGCTGGAAACTGGAAGCTGGCATAGAATTTCGATAAACTTCCTAAACAAAAGTGAGAAAAACAATGATCACACGAATGTCCTTGAAAGTTCTCTAAGAAAAATATACTATATATACATACAAAACGTTGTTCTAATAACTCCTTTGAAAGAGAGCTCCATTGAAGGTCAAAGCTTCACCTATCCTTTACTTTACTCCCCCCATCAACAAGACAACAGATGAATTGTTAATCTTCATCACAATTCTGATGACTTATTCCCAAACATTACATGGTGTTCATGAATGAACAACACACAGTGGTAAATTTATCAATCTACTATCCTCTTTTCCTTTACTAAGATAATTCTGTTTTCCACATATGTCTATATACATGAATGTAGACCCACATGTCAGAGTTATGTATTTATGTACACACAGGTATACACACACACACACACACACCCTATGAATTTAAAAATATTGTAAAGGTGGCGCACACCTTTAATCCCAGCACTCGAAAGGCAGAGTTCGAGGCCAGCCTGGTCTACAGAGCCAGATCCAGGACAGGCTCCAAAAGCTACAGAGAAACCCTGTGTGTGGGGGTGTGTGGGGTGGGGGGGTGGATTATAAAGGGATGGAGAAGTGGCTTAGTGGTTAAGAGCACTGGCTACTCTTCCAGAGGAACTGGGTTCTATGCTTAGCAGCTAAATGGCAGCTTACAACTATCATAACTCCAACCCCAAGGTATATACATACTGCAGTGAAGCGGGGAGGATATAAGCTCGGTGGCTGAGTGTTTGCCTTGTACTTACATGAAGCCCCAGGTTCAACCCCAAGGGAAAGGAATTATGTGAAAATAACTAGCATGCATTCAATGCAGTAGGCCTTTCTTTCTCCAGCTAATATCTTCTTGATGTCTTAGGGTCATCATTATGATATGGGTATTATACAGGTGCTGGAAGGAACACTGAGTTTTTCCTTTTATCCTCCTCCTTCTCAGTTTGTCTTCTTCTGGTACTAAATACTAACATTGAGACTACAAGTATGCTAAAGAAGCTACTAAAATTGCTTCTTTCTGCTCTGCTTTTCCACACTAGTATGAAGAAAAGAAGTATTAGAACAGAATAGAAAAAGAGAAAACAGTATGTACCCAATGTGGAAACTCAAATTACTCAGGATCAGAGAATCTGAGCTTGCTTTACCCACCAGGGCTGCATAAGGAGATGATTTGGTCACGGGTGTGTTTACCAGGTGTTTGGAAGGGTCTACACTTGGCTGTACAGTGTGCTTTCATCTTGCAAGGGGGAAGTCTTTTGCCTCTCCCCTTGGCACGTTATAAAAAGCCCTTTTCAATAAAGGACGAGGCCGTTGGTATTGATCCAGGCCCTCCCGAAGCTATCCAGTGTTTCTTTCTTCTCGTTGGCTAGGTCTCTCTATCTGATATTTCCTCATTCCTCTCTCCTACACCTAAGAACCCTTTAAAAAGTGGGAGCTGGACTCCCACAACCCAACATCAGTTTGAATGATAGGGCTTCCGTTTTAATCTTGTCACAACAGATCCTGCCATCTTTTTATTTCAAGACAGGGTCTCAATAGATAGGTCGGTTACAAATTTATGATCCTCTTACTCAAGTTTTCCAACTGCTGGGATTGCAGGTGTGAGCCACTTCACCTGCAACTCTGTACTTCTAAGAACAAAAATATTTTAAATTTGAGGTTTAAGAACTGGAAAAAAAAAAATGCCCAGAGTTGAAAAGCTAAAGATCATCATGAAGCAGTCTAGATGTCATCAGTTAAGGCCAACAGAAACTATAGCAAAAGACTGCATACATCATAATCGCTACCAAACACATCTGAGTTTCTACATATGGGGGGGGGGTATACCAATCAAAACAGAATTTGTTTACATGATGTTACAACTTTTGGCTTCTGTCATAACATTAGAATGAGAGAAGGCCCCTAAGGAATTAGCAGATTATATTGTTATGATAAGTAAAACTGATGAGGAAAAGGGTAGGTAACACAGTGTATATAGGTGGTTTTTTTTTAACGTGGGTAATTGGTTTAAAGACATTTATGAGTTATAAATTTCAATACAGCTATGACACCAATTTTCTAAAACCACTTTAAAACAGAACCCAACATTAAAACAGCAAGTACTTAAACATTCCTAAATTGATTTAATTCTCAAAACAGAACAAAAAAAAAGGAAAGGGAATTTTACCTCTGCTTCTCTCTTCTTTGCCCGTGCTTTCTCTACTTCATCCATTACTTTTTGAGATTCTTCCACATTTCCTTCAGCTCCTAGCTGTTCCACTTTGGCCAACAATTTACCTATTTCTTCATTTAACTCATGAACACGTTCTGCCTAGGAAAACAAAAGAGAAGATCATGAATGAAAATCTAAAAAGATGACTCAGCAGTTAAGACCACTGGCTGCTCTTCTGGAGAACCTGGATTCAATTCCTACCACCCACATTGTAGTTAACAACCATCTGTAACACCAGTTCCAGGAAATCCAATGCCCTATTCTGGCCTCCATAGGTACCAGGCCCGTGTATGGTGCAGAGACATACATGCAGGCAAAACATGCATATACATAAAAAAAAAATCAAAAGGAGCATTAACAATGTATTTCAGAAACTCATAAAAGTCCCAATGAAGATCCATTTATGAAGCACGACAAGTCTTGCTACAGTCTAGGCTGGACTCCATTCCTAATCCTCCTTCTTGTGCCCAAGTACAAGTATACATCACTACATTCAGAAATAAAAGTTTAACTTAATAGAAATATACAATCTTAACAAAGTAGTATTCCAATAATATTTACTTCTTAAAGTGTCCCCAATGCAAGACATTCCTTTTCTCAAGGGTTCCAACTCTTTTATGACTATCCTTTCATCAATGTGTTTTCTTTAAATTATCACTGAAAGATTGTATTAATAGCCAAAGATCAATCTTCCTGCATCTGCCCCCTCACAATAGTACTTTGATTCTAAACTTATGCACACATTTCCTTTGATGATGTCCTAAGAAACAGCTTGAAAAACATTGCATAACTGTGTATGATGCTTCTGTCTCTCTTCAACCACTAAAAACATTATTAGCCTAGCCCTCAAGGAATGGCTCAGTAATCACTAAGGTGGCTGCAGCAGTTCTACAAGCAAAATAAAAGCCTCAGTGACCCATTTAAAAAGAAAAGAAGAGGAAAGAAAAAAAAAAAACATGATTAGCCTAGCCCTCAAAGAATGGCTCAGTAGCCTCCAGCTGACTATAAAACATGTGCCAGGACATCCCTGCTGACACAAGAGTACTGTGCAATCTAACTGATCTATTACATGCAGTGACATGAGTCACTGAATTTGAGATCATTAGCTTAGTTCTTCTGTAGTGATGGATGACCAATGTAATACTGCATAACCAATACAGGTCTGTAGAACCTAATCACTTGTAGATGGCTTAACCATGAGATACATGATCCCTTATATCAGTGGTTTTCAACCCTCCTAATGCTGCCTGTCACCCTTTAATACAGTTCCTCATATTGTGGTGACTCCCAAATGTAAAAGTATTTTCATTGCTACTTCAGTACCTTAAACTATAGTGGTAGCTACGTAAGCTTATGTGTGTTAAAAACAAAAGAATCAGGGACCGAAGAGATAGTTCAGTGGTTAAGAGCACTTGCTACACTTATACAGGACCAAGATTTAGTACCTAGCATCCCTATCAGGGGGTCCACAACTGTAACTCCAGTTTCAGGGGTTCTGATTCACTCACTTAGAATGGCATGAGTACCAGGTATGCACATGTTGTACATATATAACCAAAAGCAATAAACACTCACGCACATAAAAATAAGTCTTTAAAAAGGGGGGGAAAAAAAAGACAAGCAGTGGTAGCACATACCTTTAATCCAAGCACTTGGGAGGCAGAGGCAGGGGGTTATCTGTGAGTTCAAGGCTAGCCTGGTGTACAGAGCTAGTTCCAGGACAGCTGGGACTATACAGAGAAATCCTGTCTCCAAAAACTAAATAAAGGCGCTATACATATATTTATTATAATGCAAACGAATGCATGCATGACTGGCAAATTCTGAATAAAATATAATTATCAATATTACTTTGTTATATTAGTTCTTAACATTTGTTAACATTTGAGTATGTAAAAACAATTCCATAGAATTCCCTACTTAGGTTTACAATCTAACTATTGAAAAATCAAAGAGCTGGAATGAGCCAGGCATGGTGGCATATGCTTTTTATTATCATTAATCCTAGCACTCAGAGGCAGAAGCAAGTAGATTTCCGTGAATTCAAGACCAGCCTGGCCCTATACAGTAAGTTCCAAGCCAGCAAGAGGCTACACAGTGAGACCCTGATTCAAAAACACCAAAAAGGGGGGGAAAATTGGAGTGAATAAAATGGGTTAAAAACATACTTTATAGTCCTACCACTCATGAGGCAAGAGGCAGAAGTAGGCAGGTCTCTGTGAGCTCAAAGCTAGTCTGGTCTACAGAGTGAGCTCCAGAACAACCAAGGCTATAAAGACAGACCCTATCTCAAACAATAACGACAAAAACAAAATAAAACAAAAAACTTATGTTTTGAACTAATAAAATGACTAAAATTCTTACCTTTGCTGCCACTTCAGCACTTATCTCTTCTTGGGTTTCTGCTAATCTTTTCTTAGACACTTCTGTTCTTCGATCACAATCTGCAATGAATGACTGCAGATGATCCATGGCCTAGAAAATTTAATATAAAACAATTACTGCCACAAAGTCAATGTATCCAGAAATATCTTCACTAAACACTATATTCTGGGTTAGGGGATGAAGCCCTAAGAACAGAAGTGCTTTCCTACATGTAGGAAGCACCGGGTTGAATCTGCTATACTCCTCCCTGCAGTTCACCCCTAAAACAAGAAAAACACAAAGCTGAGGAATTGCTAGTGACAGAACACTTGCCTAGCATGTGTGAGGGCCTGGTTTTCAAGTAATTATAAAAAAATTCATTAAAAGAAGTCCAGAGAAAAGAATCTTTAAAAACTTCAAAACAATAATTTAAATTTTTCACTCTTGGGAGCTGGAGAGATGGCTCAGCGGTTAAGAGCACTGGCTGTTCTTCCAGAGGACCTGAGTTCAAGTCCCAGCAACCACATGGTGGCTCACAACCATCTATAATAAGATCTAGTGCCCTCTTCTAGCCTGCAAGCATACATGCAGGCAGAACACTGTATACATAATAAATAAATAAATATTTTAAAAAAAACTTTTTTCACTCTTAAAAATGTTATCATAGAGCGGTGGTGGCGCACGCCTTTAATCCCATCACTAGGGAGGCAGGGGCAGGCAGATCTCTGTGTCTGGTCTACAGAGCGAGTTGAAAGACAACCAGGACTACACAGAGAAACCTTGGTTCCTAGCATCCACACGTGGCTCACAACTATTTGTAACAGTAATGCTAGATATGATGCTGTTTTCTGGCCTCCATGGATACCAGGTATGTGCCTTGTAAACACATACATACACATACACACACACACACACACACACACACACACACACACACACACACACACACACTCTATTCATACATATAAAATAAATCAAAAAATTAAAAATATATAGCAGAAGAAATCATAGATGAGAACTATTTTCAGATCAAAATAGAAAAGATCTTTCAAACCTAAAATAGGTATTATAAGCACTGATTAGAGAGTATAACTAAAAATACTATCTAAAGGCAAAAGTCATCTAAAGAAAAATAAAATAGAAAGTATATTTATAGCATACTTGAGGGAAAGGACCAATTTTCGCAATTTTTAAGAAGTTAATATAGGGGCTAGAGAGATAGCTCAGAGGTTAAGAGCACTGGCTGCTCTTCCAGAGGTCCTGAGTTCAATTCCCAGCAACCACATGGTAGCTCACAACCATCTGCAATGAGATCTGATGCACTCTTCTGGCCTGCAGGCATACATGCTGGCAGAACATTACATAATAAATAAATAAATCTTTAAAAAAAAAAAGAAGTTAATATAAGTCAACTAGAAAACTGGTAACACTCAAGTTTAGTCAACTCAGAACAGCTGCCATTATACATGATCTTAAATACAGAGCATTCACACTCACTTCACCCATAAAAAATGCAAATTGAAACTCCATTCATATTCTACATTTAGTTTATCAATAGCGACTAAAAATGTCTTGATAACACCATGTAGCCCACAAGGGGAAAGTCCAATGTATTGCTTAAAAATAGTTAAACTTTCAAAAAGAGCAATTAAGCATTATCTGTAAAAATTACCTCTTGGCTCACCTACTTTTCACCAATAATGCAGAAAGACTGAAAATAACCTCAATATCCAACCACAATGTTCAACAGTTCCATTGTACCTTATGGCCAGACAATATTAAAGTATTTTTATATATAATTTTCATTTCCATAAGCAAAAGTTCTTGGATGTTCCAGAGAATCAGAAGAGCCTATTTACTGATATCTTCAACTAAAAAAAATTACCTAATTTCACTGATAAAGAGCACCATTAGACTTTTATTGATCATTATGTCTTATGTACATGTATTTCATAAAAATGCAAAAAGTTTGAAAAATGGTATGTTCTTTAAAACATTTTGTGTAATTTAGTTTATATCTATTTTTTAAGCTATTTATTTCATATGAATGCTTTGCCTGCATATATATTTATATGTACCATGTGTATGCATGGTGCCTGCAAACATCAAGAAGAGGCCATAATACCTCCAGAACTGGAATTATGCTTTGTGAGCCAAAATGTGAGTGATGGGAGTTGTACTTGGGTTCTCTGCAAAAACAAGTGCTCTTAACCACTGAGCCATCTCTTCTGTCTCAAGTTTCTCTATTTTTATACAAGAAATGCTTCTATATAAGGACAATATTAAATCATATTTGTAACTCTGATACCTAAACAGTATTTTCTATTTCTTTTACTATTTTACATTAAAAACATGGTCCTGAGGCTGCAGGGGTAGCCTGGCAATATACAGTGCTTGTCTACTAAGAATAAGGCCCTGTATTTCATCCTGAACTAGAGATATCTAGCTAGTGATCTATTAATACAGTAGAAGTAACTATTAATGGAAAAATTCAAGAATTACTTCTTTACAAAGACTTTAAATACAACAAAAATGGGTGGCTTACATTTGTTGAAACTGCTATTTTCTTTTCTTTTTTCTTTTTTTAAAGATTTATTTATTTATTATGTATACAGCATGTATGACTGTAGGAAAGAAGAGGGCACCAGATCTTGTTACAGATGGTTGTGAGCCACCATGTGGTTGCTGGAAATTGAACTCAGGACCGCTGGAAGAGCAGTCAGTGCTCTTAACCTCTGAGCCATCTCTCCAGCCCTGAAACTGCTATTTTCTTAATCACTTTTACTTCTGCTGGGAAAAATAAGCTGATTTTTTTTTTCAACAGAATCTTTTTTACCTAGGTGTGGTAGCACTTGGAAGGCAGAAGCAAGTTAGATCTCTGTAAATCTGAGGTCAGTCTGGAGTTCCAGAACATCCAGAGCTAAGTAAGAGACTCTGTCTCAAAAATAAATGATTTTTTTTTTATTTAACAAAACAAAAACAAACCTCTTTTATACATTTTCATTAATATTCAATCTCTTATATATTGAAAAACCATCATAAAATCACAAAAGATACCTTCCTAATTCTTTCTTCCTAAGAGACATTAATTTATGTTCAAAATATTTTTACTACAATGTAACATGAAAGCAAAATCACATACATCAAGTTCAAAGAAAAAGTCCTGTTCTTTGGATGCAATTTCATAATCTGCTCTTAAAGCCAGGTCATGGACTTTCAGGCATTCTCCAAGATCCATTCTCTAGGAAAGAAAAGAAGACATTACACTGAAAATATACATAATAAAAATTCATCAATATCACAGTTCTCTTCAGAATATATGTTAAGTCATATATAGTATACTTCTTAATTTAATGGACCTTCAAAATATAAATCAGACAATTAGGGCTGGGGAGTTTAATTTGGTTGCTGAGTGTTTATCTGGCGTGTACAAAGTCCCGGGTTCAATCCCTTAGCTCTCTACAAACTGGATGTAGTGGTACAGACCTGTAATACAAGGACTCTGTAGATAGAGGCAGGAGGTTTGGAAGTTCAAGGTCACTAGACACACGTACATAGCAAGTTCAAGATCAGCCTGAGCTCATACATGAGACCATCTCGCAGGAAAAAAAAAAAAAAACAAAAAAGGCTATGAAAAACAACTGCAAGTTTTAATAAATTAGTAATACTACCAATACACCATGGGAGGTTTTTTGGAACGAGATAGCCAGAAGAAGACCACTTGCCATGGTGTATAAGTGGAGGGGAGAGAATAACGTGTGGGAAATAGTTCCGTCCTTCCATTAATCCTGGGGATTGAACTCAAATTGACACTGAGCCATCTCGCCAGCCCAGAAAAATGTTCCTAATGAGAATGCATTTAAACTGGACCTAAAGAGACAGCCCAGAAAAATGTTTCTAATGAGAATGCATTTAAACTGGACCTAAAGAATGCGAAGCAATGCTGGGTATGGCAGCAAGTACTTGTAATCCTAGTATCTCAAGAGTCCCAGGGTTAGATAGGTGGTGGTGGCACACACCTTTGATCCCAGCACTCGGGAGGCAGAGGCAGGTGGAACTCTGTGAGTTCTGGTCTACAGAGCAAGTTCCAGGACAAGCTCCAACTACACAAAGAAACCCTGTCGTGAAAAGCGACGCCGCCCCCGCCCAAGTCTCAGGGTGGGGCTGGAGAGATGGCACAGTGGGAGTAAGAACACCAGCTGCTCTTCCACAGGACTTGGGTTCCATTTCCACCACCTACATGGCAGCTAACAACCATCTGCAACTCCAGTTCCAGGGGATTTGACATCCTTTTCTGGCTTCTTGGGCACCAGGCATGCAGACAAACATGCAGACCAACTACTCATCAAATAAAAATGAAACTTAAAAATAAAAGTCTCAAGCTGGAGGATCTCATCACAAACAAATGATCAATTAAGCAGATAGAAAAAATAAGGGTGAGGGGAGGAAGAAGGAAAAGAGACAGGGGATGAGGGGACAGAATTGTAGTAGTATTACAATCTCACATAGTGGGACATTCCTGCAATTTCCTACAATCACAGCATTTGAAATGCTGAGATAGGACGATTGCAAGTTTGAGGCCAATAATCAGTCGGTGTTTGAGAGGTAGTGTGGACTACCAACAAAAGCAAAACAAAAACCAGCTAACAAAACAAAATCCCAAATAAAACAGCTAATATTACTCAGTCACAGGAAGTTTCTACAGGGAACAGTATTATAGTATCTACTGCACCAGTCTGACCACCAGTCTTAGTTTTATATACAGAATCTAAAATGACTCAGCCAATCTTGCTTTTTTTTTTAATTTTTGCCAATAACCTCTAAATGTATGAAACAAAGTTATGAACAATCATTTTGTATAGTATCCCAAACTAAAGACAGTAAATTTAGCAGATCAAGGCTTTGAAGGATTTTTAAAAAAGATTTAAAAGGCTATATATAGAGTGGGTAAAATTTAAATAAATATGAAGTCACACAGTATATTTACAAAAACAAATAATTAGGTATAAACAGAGAATTAGAGAAATTTTAAAACTAGTCAAAAGAAAGTGTCGTGGGCCAGGTGTGGTAGAACAGGCCTTTAACCCCAGGGCTTGGGAGGCAGAGGCAGAGGCAAGTACATCTTTGTGCATTTGAATCTGACCTATATAGTGAGTTCCAGGGCTACACAGAGGACTGTCTCAAAAAGAGCCACACAGAGGATGCTTGTAATCCTAGGACTTGGAAGCTGAGGCAGGATGATCAAGTTCAAGGTTTCTTAAACTACATTTAAAAAGAAAAAAAAAAACTGCCTCAAAAAATTAAGCTAAAGGGCTAGAAAAATGGCTCAGCTGTTTAGAACACTTGCTCCTTTTCCCAGTTCAGTTCCTAGCATCCATGTCAGACAGCTCACAGCAGCCTACAATTCTAGCTCCAAAGGATATGACACCTCTACAGGCACCTGCATAAACCTGACATACATACAAAGATATACACATACCGTAAAAATCAATCAATCAATAAATGAGGGTACATGTTTTACAGTATGGCATGACAGTAAATCTAAGTGATCTACAACTAATTTTAAAACTGCACTGTGGAATCTCTTTTAACAAATCTATTTTTGTTTTTAATGAGAAGTTCTTTATTTGATAATTAACTTTACATCTTGATTTTTCTCTTCTGATTGCCTCTTTATCTGGCTTCTCTGCATGTTTTAGTCTTAAAATACATGGTCTCATTCAAAATGTGCTTCTTAGGTCAGGATTTGCTCTAAAGTAAATTTTTAAACATTAGTTTGTGTGTGCAGTGTGCACAGTGTGCGGTAAAGGGGTGTCAGAGGATGCCCATGGAGGCCAAAGAATAACCATGTGTAGTCTGCTCCCTCCCTCTACATTCAAAGGGTCCTGAGGATGGGACTCTAGCTGCCAAACTTGCACAGCAAGTGCTTTTACTGAAAGCCATCTTTGCCAGACTAGGGTTTGCTTTAAAGCCAGCCTTCTGGAACTGGGGATTTAGCTCAGTGGTACAGCATTTACTTAACAAATGCAAGGCCCTGAGTTTAGTACTCAGTCTAAAACAAATAACCCCAATACAACAACAAAAACCCAAGGCAACTAAAACTAGTCTTAAGAGATTTCCATTTTACTTAAGTTGTTTTAAAATTAGCTATAATGGCTGGGCTGTGATGGCGCTCACCTTTAATCCCAGCACTCCGAAGGCAGAGCCAGGTGAATCTCTGTGAGTTGAAGCCAGCCTGGTCTACAGAGCGAGATCCAGGACAGGCACTAAAACTACACAGAGAAACCATGTCTTGAAAAACCAAAAAAAAAAAATTAGCTATAATGAGGTATACCCCCAACCCAATATCATCAGTGTCAACCTCATCTCTCTAGGGACTTAGCAGAACAACAGGTATTATAAGACAGTTTCTCTGAATTCTAGAAACCAGTCATCTGTTTTCTCTCTCCATACAACCATGACTAAATATCTGCTTTGACATGGTATCAGGCATGGCATGAAAAAAGCAAACAAGCCCAAAAGAAACTACCAACAATTACCTGACATTGTAAAAGTCAATCCAAGGGAAATCATACACTGATTAACAATTTTCATGATTCTAGTCTCCTAACTAATAAGAAGCCACTACAGAGGAAACCCCAATAGAAACACAAGGAATATGAAACAATTCTCCAAAGCCTCTGTTCCTCTTAAAATCCATCCTGAGACCACACTTAATGGAGCACTACTGCGTCCAATATCGAGTGATCTAACATTGGCTGCTGCTGTTGGTACTTCTCTTTATAAAGTTAATGAAACAAAATAAAAGGTTTGGTTTACTGCTTTCAAATGACTATTATAAGGAAGAGTTTCTTTAAAAAATAACGAATTGTTTACTTCTTCCTTAAATTTTCCACAAGTTGATTCCACGTATTGTAATTAACAGACATTCAGGTTCTAAGTGGCAAAAATTCAGCTCTTCATTTTCTCCATTTCAAATTCATTTCTCCATGAAGTTCGACCAAATCTCTGATCCTAATAACGCCTCTTTAAAATTCTACAACGTTCTACAGATTTTTGTTTAACAAAGTAGATTCTGTTAAGTGATTTTAATTTTTTAATTTCTGAGAATCAATGTTATCGTTCCAAATGGAATCTATAAGCTTCCTAAAAATGGTCTGTTTTTCTCTCTATAGACCATATTTTGTACTACCCATGTTGCCCAAATCATGACTATTGAATAAACTTGGTTTAAATTAAGCAATTCCAAGAACTTAAGGAATGAAACATGCATAAAAGTACATGGACATAAGTTTTAACAATGTCATTTTCTGGTTTAAAAAACTGAAATATGGGCTGGAGAGATGGCTCAGCCGTTAAAGGCTAGGCTCACAACCAAAAAACTGAAATATTTTAAGATCCTCTCTGGCGGGTGGTGGTGGCTCATGCCTTTAATCTCAGCACCTGGGAGGCAGAGGCAGGCAGATCTCTGAGTTCAAAGCCAGCCTGGTCTATGAGTTCCAGGACAGCCAGGTCTACACAGAGAAACCCTATCTTGAAAAATAAAACAAACAAAATGTTAAGTGCCTCTCTACAGGAGTTGACAGAACATGTAACCATTAAAATCCATGATCTGGGGCTAGAGAGGTGGCTGGGAGGTTAAGAGAACTGGTAGCTTTCAGGACCCAGGTTCAATTCCCAGGACCCACATGGTAGCTTACAACAGTTTGTATGTTACTCCAGTTCCAGGGGATACCAATGCCTTCTGCTGGCTTCCAAGAGCACTAATCACAAGGCATGTAGGCAAAACACCCATATACATAAAATAAAATTTAGGAATAGTAAATAAAAAAAAAAACCCAAACCCATGTTCTTTCCAATGGGCCTAGTGATCCAAGCCTATGAAGCCAGCATTAAGGAGACTGAAACAGGAAGATAAAGGAGGTCAGCCCAGGCTACAGGCTGATACCATCTCTAAAAATTACACTCTTGCTAGGTGTGGTGGCACACACATGTAATTGAAGCATTTGGGAGGCAGAGGCAGGTGGATCTCTGAGTTCCAGGCCAGCCTGGCTCTAGGGTTCCAGGAGAGCCAGGGCTACGCAGAGAAACCATCTTGAAAAAAATCAAAACAAAGCACTCCTTTAGCAAATGCTTCAGAAAGAGTACACTCCCAACACAAATTTAAAATTTCACACATCCTTGGCAGGTGGGGAAAGAGAGCTGGCAAAAAGACATATAACATCTTCCTTATGTATGTGA